TTTGTTTCAACAAGTTGGTGGTCGTTTAATGACAAACTTTAAGAATCAGATCTCAAATAAAACAGAGGAAAAACATATCTTTTATCTTTGTTTATATTTTATTATAAATTTTTATATTTTTTATATTTTAAATTCCTACATTTTTATTATTTTAATATTTTATATATATCTAAGGTCTTTATACTCTATTTATTTTATTCATCTAGGAATTTAAAACACTGAAAAATGACAATGGAGGGACCAAAAGCATTAAAAAAAAGTGCAAGAACTTATAGTAAAACACGAGCAAAGTGCAGGGACTAAAAGATATATTTTTTCTAAAACAAACAATTACTTAGTAATATAATTATAATATAATTTTTAAAAAATGTGCTAGAGACTAGGGACCCCTCTTGCTATATGAGAATTTTTTATATGAGCATATAGCTATTTTATTGAACTATATTTGAATATTGTCGGGTTTAATAGAAGGTACTTTCCTCGGTTCAAAATATAATTTGTGTCCAGCAATAATTCATATACTAATAAAAATTTTATTCTCATAAAAATATATATATATATATATATATTTTTACTTTTAGTCTCAATACATTTATTTTTGTTACAAGGAAATGGGAGAACCCCTAGAAAGGACCAATAAGGTGCTAACAAAGTAAATTTGCTGCAATCTTAAGGTGGATCTTTTAGAATTAGAGCCTTGGAATCGATTCCACAAGCAAGATTAGCAAGGTAGTTAACGTAAGAATTTGCCCCCTTATAAACATGCTCGTGATCAGTGACATCTCAATCCTTCATAGAAAGGTTTTTGATATCTCCTAATGTTGAAAGTCTGATGATTTTTGTCATGAATATTCATAATTCCAAGAATAGCATCCAAGGAATCAGAGCAAAGCTTAATTTTATTTGAAACCGTAAAGCCAACAAAGCTATAAGCTCTCTTGGAAAGCCAAGAGTTAAGCCTTCATGATTGGTATGCAGCCAAGCTTTTTTGGAAAACCACATGTCCATCTTTCTTCATTATCTTTGATAAGTGATAATGCATGTCCAGCATTATTGATAAAGCTGTTAATATCAAGTCTAATCCGATCTTGTTTAGGAGGGGTCCACCATGTTTTGCTAAGCAAGCTTCTATGATCAATCATCATAGTAGGCTTCTCAAGTTTCATATCCTCAAAGACAACTTGAGTAGAGAGAAAAGACATGTCTGTCTGCATATATCAATAAGGAGAAAAGATTTTGTTGCATTGGTTCTTCCATGATCCATGAAACTTGAACAAAGATTTTTTGCCAACCGTAGTCCCAATTCATGATGATTGAGAGAGAAAAAAACATAAATTCACAGTAAAAACAATAAACCAGGTTAAAAAATCTAATGAGTAAAATGAGAAAAAAATTTCTATAAATACAAGTTGCTTGTATTTTGTATTAAGATTAACAAGGAAAAAAACAATTTATATGTTGGATTAGAGAGGGTAACTCTCCAAAAATTGTTTAGTGTATTTATACTAATTCAAGTTTGAGGCTTCATATTTAATTGATCATAATTTCTTATATTAAGACAAATATCCAATGATTTTGTATTTTGAATTTGATTCTGATTGGAACTCATTGCCCCATAGGCCTAGTTGGTTTTCACGGGAGAAAAAATAATACATTTTTTTCATCACATGGCAGTATAAATATAATAATAATTTTTAAATTAATTTTTATTCGATAGCATATTTTATATTTTATATTTAAAATAATCATATTTTACTTAAGATGTGTTTTATGCGTTTTTTTCAAAAAAAAATGAGTCAGACTATTTATTTTTCGTGTCATTTGTGAGATATTTTACTTTATATATAAATATAATTTTTTTTATTCTATTCATCTGGCGTGCCGGTTAAGTCGAGAGAATTAATTTTATTTCCATTTTATAAATTTATTCCATTTCATTTTGCTTCTCAAACGCGTTATGCCCTGTGGATATATTCCCCCAGGCATTGATGGTCCACGTGTGCGGTGGGCATTAGTCAATTCCTTGCTTCCTAAGCACAAAAGCAGCATGCAAAAAGCTTAAAACAAAGTAATTTCCATGTTTGAAATGATTGACTTGTTAAGGAATCCCATCAATATTTATCCCAATCCCAACAAGAAACTAACCTAAATCATCATCTCATTCTATGTTTTTGGTGAATTAACATTATCTACACGTTTTATCATCATCATTTATTATATATAAAAAAATCACCAATGCCATTTACAATTTAAAAATTTATAAATAATAAAGCATAATATCACTTCTTGCTTGCTCTCTTTATCCTAAATTATAAGACTTTATTTAATATTTTAAAATATAAAATATTTTAATAAAAATAAGTTTTCATTAATTATAGTTGTTCCAATATTACAATTCCCTCCTTATTATATTTTATTTCTCTTTATTTAATGTTTCAGATATAAAGTTATACTTAATGAAGGATACTTTTAAAAAATTTATATTTATATTTTAAAAAAAATTGTAAAGTATGTTTAAGGAACCTCATTGATATATATAATTTTATCTAAAAGTATTTTATAAATTACTCCTTCCATTTTTATTTGTATGAAAAAAATTGTATTACACAATTTAAGAAAAATAAATTAAATGTATTAATTATATTTAAAAATAAAAAAATTAGACTACAATATCCTTTAATGATTTTGTTAATCAAGTTTTTATTAAATTTTTTTATGAGAATAAATAATAAAATTATGAGGGATAATTTAGCAAGTTTGCAATAAAGGCTTGTTGGAAAATGTAATTTTATTTATATAAAAAAAGCTAAAAGTGATAATTTTTTTATAAATAAAAACAAAAGGAGTAGAATAGAAGGAGCATCATTTAGCTAACCTCACTTTCAGGCACATTGTGAAAATTTAAAGATGTAATCACTCCGGTCTAAATTATAAGATATTTTTTATAGCTCATTTTGGTTTAAAATATAAGACATTTTAGATTTTTTTTTATTTTACCCTTATAGTTATTAACTTAGTTTGTTGTGTAACATTATTGATATTTATTACATTTTTTTGCTCTTCATGATAGTTAAAACTTTATTGGTCTGTAAGGAGGATCACGCTTTTTTATGTTATAATACTTCATTAAAAAATATTATCTCTCTCATCTAATTTATTATTGACGGTTGGAGAAAATGGTAAAAGAGAAAACTTGTAATATTTATAACTGAAAACAAGAATATAACTAAATTTTATTAATATTCAAATTATAGTTAAAATTATCTTATATTTTAGACAGGAAGAAGTATAGTGTAAATATAGTTAAGTGATATACATCTTGAGTTTCAGAGCTCACTATACATTGAATTTTGTACTTAAGTAATATAGGTTGTTTTAACATTATTTGATCTAATTAGAAATAGTTTTTTTTTTTTTATGGTATGGTAAACTTCGCCGATGGCAAAGATAATTTCTCCTAAAATATGAAATGCGAATAATAGACATTTTCCATCTAAGTTGAGACATACAGAAGGGTTGAGATTTAAACTCCCAACTATTTGTTTAAGTAATAAGAACCTTTATCATTTACATTAACTTTATTTGGTATAGAGATAGCTTTATCAAAAATATTTTTTATATGGGTATATAAAAATACCCACAAAGTGGCTAGCTAGGGACACTCAGTATCTTAAAATGAGAAAAAGGGCAAAATACTCGTAACGTTATATGAGTGGGTGCAAAAGTGACCAAACTATTAACTTTGACAGTTAAATACTGACTGTGCATGTCATGTATTGGTCTTCGATCGATGTGGACTAATAAAGAGGTAAAAATACCTATGAAATCGCCGACCAAGAATAAAAATACTTATAACGTTACTAGAGTTAGTGTAAAAGTGACTAATTCATCAAATCTCTTAAATGTTGACCATTTAGTTGACATCTAAACAGAAGTTGACTATTTTTTGTTGTTGATATGGACAAAATATTCTCAGATGAAATTCTTTGGAGGTTAATCTATCATTATATGAATATCATGTGAGAAAATGTCATTTTGACCAAATATCAAGTTAAATCAATTTTTTCTTTGTAGCAGTGGCCAAAATCATTTGAAAATTTTGAACCTCCCATGAATGAAATTACTTAAGGTTGTGACAGTGTTCTTAAGGTAGGGCGGTGTGGAAGGTGTGTTCAATTTCGATCTTCAATTGTATACAACTTATCTCATTATATTGAATCTCAGGTTTTTCAGATAAGAAAAATGGGTTGAGAGGAAGGAAGGAAGGAGGTGAGATGCGTGGCGATGAAAAGAAACCATATGGTATGGATTTTAATAGATTAGCTACTATTGTACCTACTAAAGTAATATTATGAGTACTCATATGATGATCAATTAACATTTGTAAGAATTCGTTTAGAAATATTTTTTATCCACATCAATAAAAAATAATTAACTTCTGCTTAGATGTCAACTAAACGGTCAATATTTAAGGAATTTGATGGGTTGATTATTTTTGCACTAATTTTGATAATGTTATGAGGATTTTTGTTCTTGGTCAATTATTTCATGTATATTTTTGTCCTTTTATTAATTCACGATAACAAAGATTGACATGTGACATGTATAATCAATATTTAACGATTAAAATTAACGGCGTTAGATTAAAATTAATGATCTGGTAACTTTTGCAATCACCTGTGTAATGTTATGAGTTTTTTTATCCTTTTTTTCACTTTAAGATATTGAGTATCTTTAATTAATTACTTTATAAGTATTTGTCCCTTTACTCTTTTTATATTCACATCACTCAATCACGATACCGTATTCTTAAATGATTATAATTCCTATCACAAGGACAACAATTTGTAGTTTTTAATACTCTGCTGTGCTAATAAAATATTATAAATTTTTATTATATAGATGAAATAATAAAATTATTAATTAATTAATTTTTTTTTGCTTGGCAAAGATGATAACATGGCTGATACCGCTTTCTCCACTTTATGCCCGAACACACTTTACCTCTCTCTCATCTTTGCTTCTCCTCAACGTTCGGTAGCCTAAAAAGCATCGTCTGCATAAGAAATTCTAGAGAGATAATGAGAGTTTGTGCTTTGTATGTAGAGTGTAGTGGATAGTGAAACTTTAGGGGGGGAGAGAGGTGGGATATTGGGTCTCTCTCCAGTTGTTAAATGTTAATTGAATAGGCCTGCCCACCATCAACACTTGTCTCTTGTACACTTGTCGAGCCCTTTCTTCTTCTTGTTGTTGAGGGAAACACTGCGTGGTGCCACCTCTGTTTAGAGAGGGAGTTTGTGAAGGTTTTGGGTATTCCAGATGCTTTGCGAATGGGCAAAATTCAACAGCAAAATCTGCAGCAACGGCAGAGCCATGACCCCGAGGATCCAGTTTCGTCGGGACTCCTCTGCCGGGGATGTTCGGTGGTTCTTCGAAGATTTGCAAATGAGCTCAGTTTCAAGTGCATCTTCATTTTGATCTTGAGTCTGTCAGTTTTGGTTTCTGGGTTTTTCTGGATGTACCCTAGATTCGCGATAAAGTCTTGGTATGATGCCAGTGATGCAATTAAGCAGCGAGGTGAGTTTTCCCCTTCCTTCCCTCTTTAATGTTTTAGGTTCCCCCCCTAACCTTGTTTTGAACAAATTGGCATGATTTGGTGATTTCTGTAAATGGAAAATTCTAGTTTCACATTTTGATTGCTTGATTTTAGTTTTTAGTTATTCTAATTACTGTCTATTTGGTTATTTTCTTTCTTGGTCCTGATGCACTTGATGTCATTGGTGGTATTGGTGATCTCAGGTTGGTACTTATCGATCGATGTCAGATTTTGTTTGTGATGCTATGAACTAAGTGCTGTTAACTTTTTCTTCTTTCTTTCAATCGAGGAATCCTTCTGCTTTGGGAGGCTCCGGGTGAAGTTGTTGGCCTTATTATTCTATGATCATGTTGCTCTATAATTTTGGAAGCGTAAAAGTGTAAATTCAAAATGCCACCCAACAAAAAAAAAAAAAAAGATTTTGGGGTTGAGTTCTTTTAACATGATCTATATCATGGCGCATGGTAAGAGGAGTGGCAGCACTATCTCGTGTCTGTGTTAAACGTCTTGTTTATGCTGCTGCCACGGATTTGACTTCTTATAGTGTTCTAACTGTGATATGTATATAGATCACCAAACATATGTCCTGAAACTTCGTTTGTCTTTAATATCATCCCTAAAACTAAGCATGTTGTTTGCTGTTCTTTGTTTTAATTTATATCTAGTTATAAGGGCTGTATATGGAAACATACATTATTAATTAACTATATGTCAAGTTAAAATATGTATTGAACAATGCAATTTTTTTTTTTTTATATGCAATCAACTTACCAATTGCACCTTAGGAAGTGCCATAGACTCGTTTCCATACTGAAAAATAGGGAGACTAAATCTGGGAAGAGAAAAATGTGGACCTCCTGCTTTATAGAATGTCTTTCTTGGCATTTGTGATTTAGAGAGATTTCAGGAGGACACATAAGTTTGGCCTTTTACACATGCCAAGATGATTGACACAAGTGCTCTGAGATAAAAGAAAGAGGAGAAAATGATTAAAAACTTAAGGATAGCTATTTCTCTATGAACAGTACTTAATTGTCTGAAATTCATTTTTGCAAGCGAGATAGACAATTACATGTTAATCATTCTTCTATTTTGGATGAAGTTGTCTTGAATCTATTGTTTGCAATGGAAGCCGTAACTTTAAAATCCATTAAATTTCCTTGCTTGGTACAAACTTAAGATTACGATTCAATTTAATGGTTGTTGTTCATGTAACCCATGAAAGAATAAGAAGAATATTTGATTGAGATGACTGAGGCATATCAATTTACTAGTTGTTCACGTGACACAACTAAATGAATCTAACTTAATAAAAACTATATTATAATATAAGAACCTCCCATTTTAAGCCATTTCAATTATGGAGTTTCTTGAGATTTAAAGCTGAAAAAGAAATATGACACCATTTAGCCCTTGGTGCATTGCCCTTGTGGCAAAGTAATCACCTTGCATGGGGGAGGTGGTAGGTTCAATCCCCCACAGGGTTGGTTTAGAGTGAAATTGATGTAAATCTTAGTATTCCAGAGAGTTTGGCTAATATTTATGTATCAATTTTTTATTGAAAGAAAGAAAAAAAAAACTTTTTCAATTTATGATAAATGGTTCTGATATGACATATCTAGCTCTTGTGCATATCAAAACTTGCAAGTAAGAGTATGTGCGATATAAGGAAGAAAAATTTAACTTCAAAATTTCAAAGATATATATAGGAGGTGGAGTACAACACCAAATGCTAACAGTTGCTCATAATGAGGGGTCCCTACGTTTAATGTGATGCCAGATTGCCAGTGTATACTGCTAATTTGTCTCTGTAGATGCCTTTGTTGCTGAGGCCTGTAAGGACTAATTGGACTGGCGGTTATTTCGCATTGTAAAATATTTGAATATATTTCATGGTCTGGAGCTTCGCGTTTGTCCAAATGAAATGAGTACATTTATATAGAATTCAAGGTAGAGGAAATGCCATGGAGTTCCTGAGAATCAAGCAACAGGGAAAAGAAAGGAAACACATACAATCAATGACCAACTAAAGAAAGGAAACAACCTAGACATCAATGGCAATAAAGAGTTAAATATCACTGATAGCTGAAGAAGGAAAGGAGCTGTCGGAGATCCCACTGAACTTTTTATATGAAACATGAATCAATGATTATATGTGTGATGCTAATGAACGCAGCAGCTTATATCTGCAGTAACGCACAACTTGAGTTTATTGTAATTTTTCTTTGTGGTTGAGATTTAATTTTGCAGTTTAGATAAGAATATGATAAATTTTGCAAGTATGACTTCATGATCTTGCCAGAGTGATATCGTTTTTGCTATTGTTTTTGTTTTTACCTCCTTTTAGACATACATTTTAGGCATTCATTGTCATTTGAACGGTCTTGCTGTTCCCTTTACTGTGATGACATGGCTTTCATTCTTTACATTGGTCCAAAAGCTGAATAACTTTATCTTTCTACCTTTCAGATGGCCATTTGAGCAATTTTTTTACAATTAATAAATCATTTTTTGCAGAATCTTGTTAATAATTACTGGTGCAAATGAGTTATCACTTATCAGTAATTAGTTTAATAAACTTGAATATCTAGTAGCTAACTGCTCACTGTCGTAAAATAGCTTAGTGTTGCTTGGTCACCGAGGATTGCATATCAATTACTGTGCATTATAGGGTGGTGCATATTGGAATTGTTACGTGGGGATCCTTAAATACGATGACTTCCGTACATTCTGTTTATACACTAGAACACTATTCCCACTGGCCAGGGATTTTAAGACTGTGTTTCTGAAGTTGGAAGGAAAATAACTTATTATGGGCTAATCCTTTGATGGGTTGAGTGTTTTACTGTCTCCAGCAGGGGTAAACCCTTCTAAGGTTGCAACCATGTAGTGGTGAAAGCAAAGTCCTTTTCTGTTCATATGTTTTGTGCTATACAATACGTATGGTTTGTTAAAATATTTAAACTCCTGCGCCTTGCCTTTTCTCAAATGAGTTTTGTTATTTATCATTTTTCTAATATTACTTTTGTTTTTCAAGGTTCTGAATACCTTTCTTTCTTGGATTTCAGCTACTGTCCAAGCATCCTTCAAACTGGAAAAGCCAGTTTCACAGCTAATTCCATACATTAAAAGACTAGAATATGATATATACAGTGAAATAGGTGTCCCAAATACAGAGGTTTGTCCTCAAGCTCCTGCTCTCATTCTTTTTAGTCTTAGCTCAAATACAAAAGGTGACTCATTGGCTACTTGCTCCTAACAGGTAGCTGTTCTATCCATACACCCAAGTGGTACACCTGACTTGGCAAATGTAACGTTTGGTGTTCTCTCTAATCCACTGAATGTACCGATAAATTCAGTGTACTTGAGTCTGCTGAGGTCATCATTAGTTGAACTGTTCCTCAAACAATCTAATCTGACTTTGACAACATCAATATTTGGGAATGCGTCTACGTTTGAGATCGCAACAATTCCTGGAGGGGTAACTGTAATACCAGTGCAGCTGGGTCCTATTATTCAGATACCTGAGATTCTGTTTAATTTTACTCTCAATAGTTCAATAAATGAAATACTGGATGGTTTTGATGACTTTAAGAGTGAGCTGAGATTGGACTTGGGTCTAAGATCTGATGAGGTATAATCTCATTATCTTCATTTTTATTTTGGTTAGCAGGAAATGCAATATGGTTTTGAAAGTGCATATAGATTTCTGGTTTGTTTGAGATTAGCTTTGATTTTTATCATTATAACCTTTAATTGTTGGATATTTGTTTCTGTACAATTTATATCGAAACATTCATTGAAGTTGAAGGAAAAAGTTAAAATTAATGATGAAAACGTATGCTGTGGAAAATTAGTGCTCGAGAAGAATTTTTAATTTACAATATTTTTTTGTCAAAGTTAAGGAATGCTTATAGATTGGGGAACCTGATGTGGGTGACTGGTTACATGTTTCAGCAACAACAATAAGCTTTATCTCATTAGGTGGGGCCATTGTGCTCTATCAACAAGCATGATTAATTGTTTCAACCTTCATGATAAATGAATGCTAAGTCATGAGTTGGAATATGTCTTCTTTTGAATAAATGGATGAAGATTTTCGTTGTACACTGCACTATTGATTCCCCAAAAATACTACTGATTTCCATGGAAATAAATTGAGAATTTCATGCAAGATCAACAAATATTATATTAATTCATTGGATTGCCTTCAATCATGACTCGCACTCTGCAGTAAATTATGGAAGCTTCTATTAAGCTGTTTGCACCAACTTCTAGCACCTTGTCCGTATCATTTCCCTGTCTTTGATCCCGTTTCTACTTTTCATGCAGAATGTTTACGTTCAATTAACAAATGAAATTGGCTCAACAGTAGCTCCCCCAGTGATAGTGCAGGTCTCAGTCACGTCAACATTTGGAATAATTCCACCTCAGAGATATCTTGAACTGGCTAGAATAATAGCAGGCTTCACTGAGAAAAACCTTGGCCGTGGTAACTCAAACTTCGGCAAAGTCAAAGAAGTCAGATTATCGTCTTATTTTAAGGGCTTGTTTCAAGGAGATGCACCATCTTCTGCCCCTGCTCCATCCCCCCAGCTAGTTGATCCTGCTGAACCTTCAGTTTCACCATATCATTCTCCTTCTCACTCACCAACATCCCCAACTACTGCTAACCGATCCCCATGTTTTGACTGTCAAGCGTCATCACCTGCACCTTCTATTGAGACGGAGAATCCACCTGACCCTTGTCCATATAGTGACTTCTCATATCCTCCAAGATCATCCCCAAAATCTTATTCTAACCCATCTTCTCAATCTTCTGCTGCTCCTTCTCCCTCACATTTTGTGAACCCTACAGCTGAGGCGCCTATAACTGAAGCATCCCATGGCTCCAAGCCTGACCTCGGCAAAGGAAAAGCTGTAAAGCCAATACCTCGGTCACTTGCTTCATTATATTCATGTAAGTTCATCTTCTCTCACAGGATCTGTCCTTTCATTTCTCATGCTTGGCTCCAGTTGGTACTAATGATAAGATTTACCTCATGCTTCTGACATTTTTAAAGATTCTCGTAACTATTTTACTTGTTCTAGCCGCTATCCACACAGCAGAACATCACTACGGACTACAGGGTGATTACTAATCTTTCTATACTTAATCAGTAGTGATACTATTGTATGTGCAGAATGATTTATGCGCACATTCGGGAGGGGGAAGACATTTCTTTGGTGGGTTATTTTCGTTATGATGGAACTGTACTTTATGTGCATACTTCACCGAGATTAGCTTGGTCAATTGATAATAGTGTAAAAAGAATATATATATATATATATATATATATAAGGAGTATGTAGATTGTACACGCTAAATTGATTTGCCCCATAGGGACAACTGAAGTGACTTTTAATTGGTAGACTACAGATGTAAATGAAAAAGGGTTCAAGCAGCCTCTCTTAGACAAAAAGCTTTCATCAAATCAAACATTAGAGTAGAGATATTTTACATATTTGCATTGATTACATGTGAAATTACTGTTGATGGTTAGGACTAGTTGGTGATGGTTAAAAACATTAATATTAATAGCACTATCAAATTCATGTGCTCAGGAGTAAGATCATCATATTCAAGCCACACACCTTGTGAACTTAAAAATTTGATTTCTATTTTCTATCAGTACCTAAGTACATTGTTCTTTCTTTCTTTGGTACAGCATCAGCATGTGGTGATTCTCTTGGGGAAATCTTGCTCTTGGTATTTTCTATGCTATCAGTGTATGGTCTCTTTTGTCTGTCTCTATGAAACCAGGGTGTAAAAGATGTGGATAAGTTGCCAAATGAAGGATCTACAAAGCCCAGGAAGGAGACAGCAGCATAATGGTGCTTTAAAAGCTCCTTTTAAACCGGAAGCGGAAAAAAATGGTCAAAGCCAAAAAAGTTGGCGGGCCACCCCTTTAGTTATTACTACATAGAGAGAATGTTAGATAAATAGATATGTTCTATCAAAGGTAAGTAAACTAAGTGAATGGGGAAATATATAACCATGTCAAAGTGGGTCTGAAAAAAAAAAGGCGTTTGATGTGCTTATATGTTTCTTCGCAAGCTTTTATTTCTTTGTTTTTTGTAGATCAAACTAAGAGCACCACTCTTCAAGAGCAAAGGGTGGCTTCTAAATGCGAGAAGAATCGTGTTTTGTATCCATTCAAGTGTATGATATGCCAAGTATTGTGGGTTCTTTACACATCTGAGTTTACTGTTTAACTTTCAAAACTTATCTTCTCCAGCAATATCCAGAAAAATGGTAACCTGTGCACATTTCACCTCTCACTGTGCTTCTCCCTTATCTCTATCCGCGAGGATGATGATCTATAATTTCAGGACGCATTGAGACTCAGGTTTTGGATTTAGCATTCTTGTGACGTTAATAAATTCAGAAGGGAAATGAATAGTTAGAAAAAGAAATTTGTTAATATTAGGATTTGAACAGAATCTCATATTTGAATATATGAAAATTTATGAATTTGGAATTAATTTTAATTCACTTCTTATTGGAATTATTTTATAATTCTAAATTTTTATCCTTTCAATCATCTTATTTTTTTTCAAGTCTTTGCCATTGGTGCTTTTGTCATTTCCATATATATATATATATATATATATTTTAATCTGTTTTCTCTTTTTTTTTTAAATGCCAGTACATTACTATTCTTTCTTTAAAACAAATTATTTTAAATATATTTTAAATGTGTGATTTTAAATATGAAATTTTAAATTTTAAATTTTAATCTATCAAACTAAAGGATTTTAGGAAGCAAGATGAAAGGAAGGTAAATTTTGTATAAAAATGGTAGATAATAAAATGGAAAAGAATATAATAGAATACAGCAAACTAATTAAGTGTGTTTTGTATAAAATAATGTCTGGGTATAATGTGCCTATGTAGGTTGAATGTACAGTATCTTTTCCCTTCTCCATATCAGCAACAGTTATGATATTATGAGTTATGCCTAAACTTTTGTAGCCTTGAAATTTGTGTTCCCTGTGTTCTGCTTTCCTCAATCAACTTCTTATGAGGCTATAACTGCATCTTGCATTTCCCAAACCCTAAAACTGATTGCCTCAACAGCTGCTTCAACTTCAACAGATAACATAACATCACGTCATAACTTACTTAGAATCCCCTGAAGCAACAACAACAACAACAACACACACACACACACACACACACACACACACACACACACACACGATGTATATATATAGAGAGAGAAGGTGAATTTCACTTTTTGTTTTGAACAACCAATTTGAATAGAGGTGAGAATATTTTTATTTTTTAAGAAAAACGAAAGTTTGTAGATAGGGAAATAGATTTTTGGAGTCACGTAGTCCCATAATATACTTGTGCTTTTTTTTGGGGGGGGGGGTGTCTCCTTGCTCTAATACTACATGACTGTACGTATGACTACATAAATCTATTCTTGTTTTGTAAGATCTGATTTTCTTAAAAAAAATTACATGAATTACATAATCGTAAGACTACCTTTACCCAAAACAAAGTTGTGAAACTAGGGGGTATTTTTCCCCCCCTCACCTATAAGCTTTGGAGTGGATCAGTTTAAAAGAAATTGAAGGAGCAAGACAAGTGAGCCTTACCTTAATCTTTTTTAAAAATTTTTTTTTCTCCACTTTAGTCCATTATCTAAAAAAGTTTTAGGGTGTGTTTCGATTTCAGTTGGATATAATTAATTATAAAAAAATTAATTAATATGATTGATTTAGAATATAATTGATTATGTTATGTGGTATATAATTGATTTACAAAATTAATTAATAAGACTGATTTTAATCAAAATTAAAAAGTAGAATTGAAATGCAAAACTGAAAAGCAGAATTAAAAATAAGATAAAATTATGGTTTTGTAAAAATACATCCAAACAACCCATGTTACATGTTAAAACCAATTATAAATTCAAAATCATGTTTAAAAAAAAATTCCAAACACCCATTATACATATTAAAATCAACTATGAACTCAAAATAATGATTTTCTTAAAAATATTCAAATGCCCCTATAAATGTCGAAATTAATTATGAACTTAAAATTACAGTTATCTCATAAGCTATTGTTATTTACTTTTCAATTCAATTTTTCAGTCATACATTTCTAAAAATTTATCCAAAACTTATATAAATAATTTTACAAATCATATAAAATTTTCAGTTATACATTTCTAGAAAAGTTCTATTTTTGGTTTTAGAAATTGGGCTCCACACAATATAGTCAATATTCAGCATAACAGGAGACTTGATTAGTTGAGTACTAAAAGTTCGTGATATACCCAAAAAATGCTATTGAAACCAAGTAGTGTATGGTATAAATATGGACATGTTACCTTGTTGATTGCAGCCACAATAATATGAAATGAGTTTACAGCATGAGGTCAGATGATATCTAAAACTATATGATCAGCAATGATCGCCACCACGGACCACCTGCATATTTCTCACACTTTTTTGTTAGGCTCTACATGTCATTGTTAGTATAATACCAATGCTCCATTGTCTTTTTTCTTACAACAAAATTTTTTTAATGAGTTGAATTGTAGGAGCTCATTAACGTTATAATATGTTTTCAAATTCAAGAAGTATTTTACAAGTACTTATATATTACCTAACAATAAAATTCTCATATTGAGAACGTGATTTAAATCCATCACCTATAATATTATGTGTGTATGTGTGGCCTTTATCTTCTATAATGTTATCAATATTTTTTATATTGTTTTGTTTGAATGTATAACAAATTAGAATTGCACACCTAACAAGAGCGAATGATTATATTCTTCCATAATCATGTCAAACCAAACTTAACAACAGGAAAAATGACACTTTAGTACCCTCAAATTTTAAAAATATCAATTAACGGCCATAGGCCAATTAACCAAGATGTCTCTATTCACATGTAAGGGGAAAATCTTGAAAGTTAAGTTAGAAATATTGAAAACTTAGTTTTATTGTTTTGTTTAAGAATGTTGTCCTTCATTTTTTGTATTTTCAACATGTGTGTGTATTTTTCTAATATAGCTTCCAACATTTTTTAAATCAAAGAATAAATATGAAAAAAGTACTTAATTGAAAATCAATCTAACTAAGCTTCTAATTTCCAACTTGTATGTGAACAGATTAGCACCTATGCAGGATACACGTAAATAAAAATTTATATTTAGAGTTTGAGTTGGGCACTATAAAAATTGGCCTTTAAATTATAAGTTTAGAGATATCTAAGACATTAAACTCATCTTTTATGTAATATTTTTTTAAAATTTTTAAAAATAGTGTAATCTGATATTTGTTATTAATAAAAGTTAACCATTAGTTAATTAAAAAATAATACAAAAGAATCTAACAAATTATAAAAAATGATAAAAAACAGTGTAATAGATGCTTTTTTATATTTATTTTTGGGGTCCTTGTCTTTGTGTCTTTTTTGTTGTAATTTTTTAAATCATTTTCTAATTAACCCATAGTTAAAATTAACTTTTGTTAATAGTGAGGTCAAATTAAATTACTTTCAAAAGTTAAAAGGGGACATTGCATAAGATATAAGTTTAGAATTTTAAATACTTCCAACTAAACCTATAGTTTAGAAAACAATTTGCTCATTTACCCTGTAAACTTCAATGTAAATATTAATGTCAATAAATTTAAAATTAAAATTTATAATAATAATAATAATAATATTATTATTATTATTATTAATAAATCACACGTGTATCATTCATAAATTCATAATTCATAAATTGTTATCAAATCTCGAAATACTTGCTTACTTTTTCATATCCAAGGGTATTTAATATGTCTTTATCTAATGTCTTCTCTAATGTTTCAACTTTTCAATTTTTATTTTTTTTTAATCATAGACTTCTATATAAAATAAGAGGTGTTTCAATATCTTGAAAGCCTGAAATGAGTTTTGTTTGTTTATAATTTTTTTAAAATCATAATTATACCCTTTCGTTAAAGAAAACGGAATTGGAAAATTGTGCTATGAAGACGTCTAGCCAGCCTTTTTTTCGTAAGTGCTTCAAAGGGTTCAAAAAACTTACCTCCTCGTCGATCATCATTTTCATGAAAATCAAACAAATATCTCTGAGTCCATTCCATAACTGCGCGCACAGGTCGTAAAGAAACAAGCTGGCTCCATATCCAATTCAATCCCTGTGTAGCTTCTTCAAACCTAAAACCATATCGATAATCAAAATGCGAGAAATCTTCACGATAATTGTAAAATGATGATGATGATGAAGCGCTTGGCATCTCATGGCGGCAAATGGGACAGGTATTGTGCGTGCGAAGCCAAGGCGTAATGCAATCCGAATGATAGAAATGCTTGCACGGTAACTCTTTCACTTCCATTTCAAGCTGAAATTCGTCTTTGCAAATCGCGCAATTCGGATCGCTCGTTAATTGTGCTTCTGTGACTTTTACCGTCGGCAATCCTTCGATGGCGGAATCCTCGGCCGGAGGTGGACTGTTGTCGTCAGGGGCTCCCGGAATGTGCCTTTGTGGACGAGCTGGTCTCGCAAATCGGAGAGTGATCCAGGTCTGAGAATTCGGTCCTTGTTCGGTTTCTTCAAACCTTTGAACTGTTCGATTCAATCGAGCGTTTCGCTCTCTCATTAATAGAGGAATAGGTGAAGGCTGTAAATTAGGAGGAGTATTCATGAGAAGGCTGGGCCTGGTGATATCGAGTTCGAGGTGTAATTGATGGGAGCAAAAGGGGCAGGAAGAGAAATTAGGGTTTGCAGAGGAGGGGATTCTGACGGCGCGCTGGCATGTTTGGCACCAGAAGTAGTGGAAGGTTCTGGTTCTTTGAACGCCATTGACGACAACACGAGGACGGCCTCTCATATCCATAGATTATATTATTGGAGTTTTTTTGAGAGTGCAGAGATTTGAGTGTTGAAGAAGAAGATGGAATTATATATATAATCAATAACCATGCTGTAAAAGTTGATTGACGAGGGCTTCCTATGAAGAAGAAAGAGGTTGAAGGAAATGAAATGGATGGCTTTGGGGCAAACAAGAAGGGATCCTTTTTCCATTACTGTTGGCGTTTCATGCTTCATGAAACGTACAAGGTACGTAACGAAAAGCTTGCTTCAAAGATAGTTCAGAGTTATCGAAGTGCCCTGGATTTCTTCTAGGTTTGAATTTGAGCATGCATACGAGACAACTTCATATTATATTCCATAATTGGAAATCTCCTATTCCTGTTTCTTTCTTCTTCTTTTTTCATTTTTGTAAAATTGAAAGTTGAAAATGTATGCAGAAAGATTGTTTTTTTTTTAATTGCTCATTGTCCTAAAAATTTAGAATATTACCACCTTCTATCCAAATTAATATGAACTCCCACTTTCTGAAACCATTATTGCCACCACAATAGCATATCCTAAGACTCGAACTTGAAGACTTAAGATAGGGTTATAGAAAGATTGTTAAAAGTCTCACAATACAATTAAATTGGCAGCTGAAAAATAATTGTCATTTTATTAAATGGATATTGTGGTATTTAATTGTGTTTTGAAAAAAAATGTAATTTTCTCACTATACAGATGCAAAATGTACTAGATTCATTCAGCTATTTTGCAGGCTCATTATGCTAAATTGAGAATCAAAGTAGATTCAACTCAATGTTAATCTTCCTTAGGTGAGCAGCCATGAAAGTACTCCACCTTGCTATAGATTCCTCAAAGTAGAATAAAATGGAGCTTGCACCTGACACATGTATCGGATTTGGTCATATATTCTTTATTTCAAGGGAAATAAAGGGAAAAAGTGTGCACTTATACATTTTTAAACATATATTTAGATTAATTTTAACAATAATAACATTTATTTCCAAACATTCGATATATATTTTCACGAAAATAATTGAAGAAAAGTTATTGATGATTATTAAATTAATTTAGTTTAGATGGAATGAAAATATTACGAGCTAAGAGTTAGCTATGTTAATGTCTTTTATAGATTATATATGAAGAACATTGGAGATCCATATTATGTTTTTATCAAACGATATGATAAAATGTGTTTGGAAACTTGTTTATAGAAAAAGAGTCGTTTTTTATATTAAAAAAAAACTGGATGCAGTTTATTATTGAAATTGTTTAATAAAAACGGGATGCTTTTCTTTCTATAAAAAGAGAAGAGTTTTTTTTTAAAAAAAAAAATACCAAAGAAGAAAGAAAAGAGTTGCTTTTATCAAAGGCATAGTTTTGCTTTTGGCTAGCAACTGTGATTAACATGTCTTTAATGTCTTAAAAGACTCGTCTCAATTGGCGCTTTTTACTATTGAAATTAAATTTATAGATGCAGTTGCTGAACACGCACGTAAGTTAAAACACTGGACGAATATTAAATTTTATAAAATTATTGTAAGTTCAATTTTAAAAAATTGGTTATATTACCATACTTAACTTATCGGCAAACAGAATTCAGCCATTCTTAAAAGAAGGTAATGGTTGTGTAAATTGGTCAGCAAATCCTTGCTTCATATCGAAATTTGATTTGGTTGCCTTTGTTGAGTCCTTTGAGGGAATTCATTGTTTTACTGTACAGTGACCTTTTTTTCCCCCAAGTTGTGCATGGGTATAGTATTTTTTTATTAGAGATAATTTTATTTAATACAGTTAAATATTAAATATAAATATTTCTTTTAATAAAAATAATAAACCTTGATTCATCAAATTTTGAAAAGCTAACTTATTTTGTTATACCTAATTCATATTAATGTTGGTGTGTATGATGACCTTTTGGGCATCTCTCCCCCAATGGAAGTTTTGAAGCAACTGAATAATATATTTGGGCTTTGGCCCCATATTTTCACTGATAATAGAAAAGTTATCTCTATATATTTGCAAATTTAGTTGGATTATTTTATTATGTTTTAAAAGTGAAAAGGTCAATTTATACACGAGTCAAAATTTTAAAAAACATTTGTATAATTTAGTATGTGTTTAATTTTTAATTTATAAAAAGTTCATTTATTGAAAGTTTATTTAATAAAAAATAAATTTAATAAAAATCAGTTGTTATAATAAAATTTATATTTAAATATATTTTTTAAAAAATTAATTTAATAAACTAAAAGTTATTTAAATAACATATGATAAAAAATACATTTAAAAGTAATAAAAATGTCTGCATAATATAAAATTTGAAATATTTAAACGATAGAAAAATATATCTACATGTCTTTATAGCTTGTTTCAATTTTGAATTAGTTCCCTATGATTTATTTTGAATTAGGTTTTTATAATTTGAAAAGTAATTTTGTTTTGAGAAAATCAATAATTTATTATTGATTTAAATCTACAGGGATTAATATATCAAACTATAAGACTTTAATTAAAATAAAATAAATTACAGAGACTTAATTTAAAATTGAGAAAACTATTAGAATCAACATATTAATTTTTCCTAAAATTATAAAATATAAAATGAATGATATAAAACATTTTTAATAATTATTCTTTATAAAAATTTATATATAAATAATTCAAAAATCTCAAATATCAATTTTGCATTGTCTCTTTACTTTGTCACAACTCAAATGAGACTCACAAGGGCATAATATTCAATTATTTTTTCATGGCTTTTGGTCTATCATTATTTTATTCAGTCATTATTATTATTATTATTATTATTATTATTATTATTATTAGTGTCATTATTGAATTTTTACTTTACCTCTCTCCCTTCTCATCATACACAAGCAAGGAGGCTTTTAAAATTTGCTTTTAAAAAGCTCCCCCAAACCAAGTTAAGAAAATCCACTTTCAACTATATTTTCAACATGCTTTTATTTCGAAAAGTAACTAAATAGTTTTTAGCTTTTTAAAAATACAAATTCAATTCTTAAATGTGAAACTCAGAGTACCCAAACAAACCCTTAGTCTAATAATTAACTTGTTTATGTTACGTGCTAGCAATTAACATAACTAACTTGTCCAAGGTTGGAGCCAACGAGTATTAAGGCCTAACGGGTGAATTAGGGAATTTATATAATGAAAATTAAAGGCTAATCCCTCAAGAAATCTTAACGTTATTTAAGGAGTTAATTTTTTTTTGAGCGATACCTTCTAATCCATATACATTTTCCAAAAATTGAATCTTAAAATAATGTTTAAGGAGCTCAGATGTATATATGTCTTCTTTTATATGAATTATAAAAATGCAAATAGGGAGAAAATAAATTAATTTCATTATTTAAAAAACTTCTTTTAATTAATTAAATTATTTTTTAGACATTGAGATCAAATTTTATTTAAAAGAAAAAGTAAAGTGATAACATAACAAATTTTAAGCAAGCTATATCACTCTACTTGGATTTAAACAAAGGTTAAAGAAAACATAATGAAAAATACAAGACCTACAACCTAGTGTAGAGCTTAATGATATACTATATTGGGCCTTACATTGTGACGATAAACAAGAAAAGAGTAGATTGGAACATGACAAAATTTCACCTTGTGGTTGACCTAATCTTAAATGTGTTATGCTGTCTATCCTGGCCAAAGTAGAAATGTATTAACTGTAGGGACTTTTGAGTTCCATTTCCAAAAACTATTAGCCAATGGTGGTTGAAAAGATCCATAGCAATTAACAAGGATTATGTCTAATAAAAGGGATTAATTTTTTATAATGTGACGAATTAAAATTTATATAAATTGGGAAACCAAATAAAAAAGAGAGCATAGTTTGCAATTCATTCCTCAGCCAATTCATCCGCCACCTTGTTCTGCTCACGTGAAGTATATTGTAATGTAAAAGACCATTGCAAAATCATGAAAACTTGATTATGGGGTGGGTTTAATATATATATATATATATATATATTTGTAAACCTACCAAGAAAGCGTGAACCTTGACTTTTAATGCATGTTTGATACATGGAATTTTTTTTTTAAAAAAAGAAAATGCATCTAGAAAAAGAAAGGTGCATTTATAATTTTTTTATAAATACTATTATACCTATCAAACATTGCATTTTTATATTTACACACTCTTTACTTTAACCTTTTTTTTTTTTTTGCAATCGTATTTGTACCCTAGCTGGATTTTTTTGGTCAATTAAGAAAACATTCATTAAGATGTCATGTAGGAGTGAGCAAAACAGAAGTGAATCAAATTGGGTTCGATCAATTTAATTTGGTTTATTTAATTATATAGTTTGATTTGATTATTTTCATGAAGTTTTGATTTATTTGATTTGGTCTGACTCTTAGAATCAAATAGACTGAATAAACCAAAATGTTATTTTTTTAAAAAATATTTTAATGTCAATATCATAGAATAAAATAAGAAAAAAACAAGTCAACCTAACCCTTATTTCCTCATTTCTTGTATGAATTTACATGTATTTGGTGGTTAATGCATATTGTATTTTGATCTAATGCTTCTTTCTAATTTTATTCGGATTTAATCATTCTTTTATTCAGTGACAATGCTTTATTATTATTTTTTTGTAAGGCTTGATGTAGCATAGGGATAACAAAAAAAAAAAAAACTTGCAAAATTTGGTTGATAGGCCCATCTTCGAGACAATGAACTAAGTTAAATACCTGAATGGAACCATATTATTTCAATTCAATTCAGTTTTTGTTATCATACACAAAATTCAATTTAATTTAATTTGATCCAAATTTTTAGGCTAGTTCGGTTTATTGATTTGTTTGATTCAACACCAAACTGAATTGAATCATACGATACAAACCCGTAAAGTCATGCATGTAAAAAAATCAGTTCTACTTAATGTATATTGATTTCATATTTATTATTATATTCATGTTGATTTATTATCCACAGGCCACAGCAATTGCATTACATTTTGTAAACATTAAGTTATCTTTTTAACAAAATTTATCAGATTAGAAATACTAGTTATTTATTATCAATGCAGGTTGAAAATTAGTTATTAGAAATACTAGTTGGAGTACAATAGTAAAAATGAAAGAAAAAGAGAAAGCGGAGTTTTTCTAAGTAATTTAATTTTAGGGAAAAAATAAATTTTGTTGTTATTTTATAATTATTAATTTAGTCTTATAAGTGCTTTAATTTAAAATAACTCAATTTCTATAATTCCTTAATTTACAAGAAGTTAATTTTTATCATTTTTCACTCAAAAAAATTAATTTTTTAACTCAAAAATATAAATATTAAATTGTTTTGAGTCAGAAATTATAAATTCGGGGTTAAGACCGACGGGAAGCTTTAGGAAATCTCTCCTCCGTTATTTTTGCGTCGGATGTTCCACGGTAACCGACCTCTTTTTTTTTTTAAAAAATATTTATATAATAATTTTTAAAATTCTTACATAATAAATAATAATAACTTTATAATAGGTAGATATAGGACTCACAATAAAAAATGAGTAGTGGATATGGAACAAATATTAAAAAAAATCTATTTAAATTATAATATAAGACATCTTTTAAAAGCTTTATTTACCTAAAATATAGGGTATTAAATAATTTTATAATTATATTGATAAATGTGGTTTAAAATTTATAAACAATTTTATTTACTTATCTCCTTTGTAATTTAGTTATATTCAATATTTTAATCTTCTATTTATTTTTAGAAATTAAACCTATTAAAATCTTCTCTCCTCTCTATTACAATTGTTATATTACAATTGAAAATTAATATCCCTTACATTATGTGGGTATAAAATCTAGTTAAATTTATAATTTCCCTTAACATTATTAACCTCCCATTATTCGACTTACCCGAGTGCTAAGTGCTAACTGAGTTTCCGGTTCTAAGTCGGCCGAGTCATCTTGCCGGGTTACGCCTTGCGGGAAAGACTTTCGGATTGGGTTGTCGCCTACTAGGCTATCTTCCATTCATCAAAATCCCTCTCGCCCAACGCTTCTTTCTTCTCTTTCGATTCTCTCTCTCTAAACTCCTCCTCTTTAGAGAGAGATAAATCGCTTCCATCAATACCAATATTGCCAATGAAAATCTTCTGAGAAAATCCTACTCCAATTTTCTTTCAATCCAAACGGAAAAGCCTTCCCAAATGTCACTTGCGGTGTTCCAAACGGCTCAAATCATGCCCATGAACTCTCACGCCGCCACAAAGGCTTTGCCGCCGAATCCTTCGTTGCCCAGTTCGAAATTCGGTTCACTCCAGCAGGTTACAAAGCCCGCCGCCTTCAAGCTCAGGCGGCGATTTTCGGTGGTCATAGCCTCAGCTACCTCTGATGTGGAGAATGGTTCGGCGGCTTTATTGGAACGGTGCTTCAGCTTGCCGGATGCTCCCGGCACTTCTGATTCTTCGCTGCCTTCATCCTCTTCAATGAATTTGGGTCCCGTTATGAAGGGAAAATATAGTTCACTTGGTGCTGTGACATTAGAAAAATCCAAACTTGATTTGTCGCAAAAGCAAACCAAGTCTAGCCCTCAGGTTAGTATCCAAACTTTGAGTTGGAAGACTTCGGGTTAATACGTTGTCGTCGTTGACGAATTTTTATGAGAGTGGAAGGGATTGAAAGAATGAAAGCTCAATTATCTGTTTCTGTTCTATAAAATGTCATTGTAGCTTATGCAATGATCAATTTAGCATATATCCGAGTATTCTTTGGTTTCGTTTGGATCATGCCTTTGCACACCCTAGCCGTCTGAGAATAACTAAGCTGACAAGTCAGGGTGCCCTGTGTTTTTTCGTTTGTTTGTTGGTTTTTTTTTTTTTTTTTGGGAGGGGGATGTGGGGCGGAGGAAAGAGTAGTGGCATTGAACATGGTAGATGCAAATGGAAATTGGACAGTGAAATGAAGTAATACTTTCGCCCAAATGTTAATTAGCGTCTCAAATTACATTTCATCACTGCTGATAATGAAGGGTGAATGAGTTATGGTTGCTTGCTGACAATGGATGCAATACTCAAATCTCCACTTTAAGGACAATACCTTCTTAATTTTGAATAGGTGTGATTATTCAAGTTCACCTTTTTTTACAAAAGTTCTCTTTTTTAATATTATATGCGGGCGCGTGCTTGTATCCTACACGTAGGCATAAGTTGAGCAATGCATTCTTTTAGAAAATCTGGTTGTTAACTCTATCTCCCTCAACTACCTGGACTGGTTTATCGGGCTATTGTACGAGTCATTGACCTTTACATTAGAACAATAGAGTTCTGAAAAATAAACCAACTGTAGCACTCTTGATGCATGATATATATCTTTCTAATTCTCTGAATTTGCTTCCTCTTTAGAATTGATTAGTTTGATCAAATTGCCTGTTCAAGCTTGGCGTACAGCTTGCTAATAATTTATGATCATAATTTATAATGTTTATGACATAAACATTAAGCTTACAACAACAACAACAACAACAAGCCTTTATCCTACTAGGTGGGGTCGGCTACATGGATTGCAAGACGCCATTGTGCTCTATCATTTATCAAGCTTTTAGGAATATTATTAATTAAGAGATCGCGTTCAACAACTTCCAAGAGTGTTCTCTTAGGCCTTCTCTACCCCTCTTAATCGGACTCAAAGTTATATGTTTTCACTCTTCTCACTGGTGCCTCCCTTGGTCTTCTTTGTACATGTCCAAACCATCTCAACCGATTTTCAACCATTTTTTCCTCAATAGGTGCTATCCTCACTTTTTCGCGTACGTGCTTATTTCGAATTTTATCTTTACGTGTATGTTCGCACATCCATTGTAACATTCTCATCTCTGCTACTCCAACTTTATGCTCTTACTGTTCCGTTAGAGCCCAGCATTTACTACTATGTAACATTGCCGGTCTGATAGTAGTGTGATAAAACTTTCCTTTAAGTTTATTAGACATCTTACGGTTGCAAATAACTCCTTTAGCTTTTCTCCAATTAAGCCACCCAGCTTGAATCCTATGTGAAATATCTCCACTGATTTTGCCATCATTTTGAATAATGGCTCCCAAATATTTAAACTTTTCCACTTGAGGTATAATTTGATCTCCCAATTTCACTTCCAAATTATTGTCGAATAGTCTCTTACCAAATTTACAATATAAATATTCCATCTTACTCCTACTCAGACGGAAACCTTTCGACTCCAATGTCTTCCTCCATAACTCAAGTTTGCAATTAACCTCTTCTCTTGTCTCTGCTATAAGAACTATATCATCCGCGAAGAGCATACATTTGGGAATTTCCCTTGAATATGTTCTGTCAAAACATTTAGGATCAAGTTGAACAGATAAGACTTAGAGATGATCCCTGATGTAGTCCAATCTTTATAGGAAAATCCTTTATTTGACCACTAGGCGTTCTTATACTAGTTTTTACCCCCTCATACATATCTTGTATGGCTTTAATATAAACATATAGCTTAATCAATTATAAATCCACTGTTGTTGACAATGTAGCTTCCCTCTTGCTTGATGTGATTTAAACTTTGCAGCTTGATGTTGGGGGAGGAGGGGGAGATATTGGAAAGAAAATCAATCATGGTGGTGGTGATGGGGGAGACGATGATGGCGATGATGATGATTACTTTGATGACTTTGATGATGGTGATGAGGGAGATGAGGGTGGCTTGTTTAGGAGACGTATACTCCTTGAAGAGGTTAGAAATCTCATTGATGCAATTTTAGAATAATCTTTTTGGAAAATATATGCTTTGTTTTGCTTTCATTCACAATTTTAGAATAATTTTATATACAAATGAAGCTCTGTGTCCTTGTCACAGCTATTTGACCGTAAATTTGTGGATGCTGTGTTAAATGAATGGCAAAGAACAATGATGGATTTGCCTGCTGGGTTACGTCAAGCTTATGAAATGGTAGAGTAATTTTCAAGGCTGATGGCAACCTTTAGGCTGTGAACCATATGTCCCTTTACTGACTGAAATAACATTTCCAGGGTTTGGTTAGCTCGGCTCAGATGGTAAAATTCCTAGCAATTAATGCCAGGCCAACTGTAAGCAGGTTTATTTCCCGAGGAGTACCACAAGGAATATCAAGGGCTTTTATTGGCAGGTGAGTTTATTTTTGATGAGATGGCATTAAATTAAGGGCATGCATTTACACATGTATGTATATGCGTGCGTGCCTGTGGTCACACACATAGAATTCACTCGTTAATACAACCAAGACAGTCACATACAGAAGGTGATACACTATCTTAGCGCCTTGAGGCAGGAGGTGCTAGAGAGATGCTTGTCTGAGTGAAGCAAGGAACTGAGATAGGAAAATAAAAATGAAAATATGTTCTATAAATGGACAATATCCAAGTATGAACTATTGTGATAACCTTGCATATGAATTAGCTTTTCATGTACGCTTATCAGATAAAAAAATGTACTATTAAGTATGTGAGTCAGAAAATGCTAATGTTGTTTTAAAATACTCAACCTGATAATTGTGACAATTCAGGATGGGAATAAAATAAACCTAGTATGTGCAAGGCACCTGTGCTAAGTACCTTTTGTCCATTTGAAGGGAACCAAACCCATTGCCACGCAAGCACTTGGATGGAGTTCTCTTGCCTTAGCGCCTCAATCAGCAAGAGACATTGAGGTCTTTTGTCAGTTGTCATCTTGCCTCATAGCCATAGTTGCTAAGGCAAGGGTTTTTAATCACACCAATCACAACTTGCAATTGACTTAACCATAGCATGAGCATGGGAGCAGAATTTCTACTAATTTGTGTTGCTTCCCAGGGCTGCATTTTTCAATTCTCTAGTACCATCTAGCAAAATTATTTTGCTGATTCAACGCATGCAAGTCCCTGAGTTGATGGGTCATTTAGTCCTGGCTGTTATGATATGCTTTCATCATTATTTCCTTTCTTCATTCAGCTGCTAGTTCTCTTGTAAGTGCTCCTGCATTCTATTTTTGTGTTTTGTTATTGTTGCTCCTATCAGGTTACCACTGTGATTGATCAATGATGAAGTTGCTATGGTGTCTTGTTGAATTATTCAAGTCGTTGGCATATAAATCCCTATTGCCATATGAACAAATATCAAAGTATAAAGATTGAGAGGGAGGAAAATGAGAAAGTGTATAGTCATTTTTCAAACGTTTGTTGCTCACTCTCTGTGATCCATATGAACTTGTAATAATATATTATAAATTAATGTGCAATTATTATTATTAGCATTGGAGAGATGACAATATCGCTGAATGATTTGCTTGCTAGTTATGAAATGACCTTACAAATAAAATGTTTCCTGTCAACTTCTGAATACTTTAAAGGGTCAATTGCCTGTGACCATTTTCTTTATAACCTTATATTTTAAAAGAAGAATCACATTCAAGGACTTAGCAAAAAATTTATTCGCAGATAAGGATCAATACAAAATGAATTGCTGTTAAAATGGGAACTTGTTTTTTCTCGAATGGGATTTGTTATTAGTTCTTGTCTTCGAATAAGTTTCTTGCTAGGTCTTTGGATGTGATTCTCCCTATTTTTGTTTTTTTTAAATTAAATAGCCTGAAGTTGATGGCTGTCTGGTGCTTGGTTAATTTTAGCCTAAATAGAAAATTTAATGAATTCTTAATTTTCCATCTGGCCATAACACTATAATTATCCCAGGTACCCTTGTGTGTGTGTGTGTGTGTGTGTGTCAATTAACTTTGATTAAGATACATTAAGTTCCATTGTTGGTTTTGCTAGCAATGCTTTGTGTTATGATGCCCTATTTGAGCAATTATATTACATGCTGATAATATAAAACTTATGGAAATGAGAATGTTTAGGTAAATATACAGGATTAAAAATCAGGATAGAGTAGGACGTAATTTATGGGGTAGTTTAAATTATGGGTAAGGTAATTACATGAATGCAGAATGGTGATGAAATTTGTTACTTTTGATTAGTTGTTAGTTGAAGCTGTTAGTGTTAGGTGATAACAGCGTTGGGACTTTGGATTCTATTAGATAACTAGCTTTCTTTCTAAAGGCCTTTAAGCTATGAGGCAGGCATTTGGCCATTGGATGTGTGATGAATGTGTTATGTTCTCCAAAATTCAATCTGGAGAATCCATGAAGATGAGAGGGTATCGAGGTTGTGGTGGAAATCATTGCTTAGTTCTGTAAGAGAGTAGCAATATGAATACACATAGAGGGTCTTGGATTATTCTTGTTTTCTAACTATGTAGTGAATCCTTTGAACTCGTATCAATGCTGCTTGTTGCATGTGTTACTCATATAACCATAATATGGAATGAAGAAGGAAGGGCTCATGTTTGTTCCCCCATGAAAACTGACGAAAAGTGTTTCTTAGCTGAGCATAGGTACACTAATTGACAGAGAGATGTGAATCTATCATCTTTTTGTTTAATATTTCCTTAGAGTATGACCGTGGGCTATGTTGTTTCAACATGTATTTGTCCTTTATGAGTGTTGAAATGTTATTGTTGGACATCAATGACTGAAGTTAGTATTCTTAAACTTTGGAGAACATGGTGTAGATGTCCTCTCATGTCTGATAAGCCTCAGTAATTTAGCTGATCTCTCTAATGTTTGAAAAATTTACGAATCAAAGTCAATTAATTATTTTATCTGTTTAAATTTTATTGTTAGTGTGGAGTTTAATATACGTGCATTAATGTGATATTGCACAGGTTGCTTGCAGATCCTGCATTTATGTATAGGCTTCTATTAGAAGAGGCTACTACGATTGGTTTCTCAGTGTGGTGGGAGTTTAAAAACCGGAAGGATAGGTGTGTTGCTGTTTTAAAATTATTTGAAGATTTGTTTGATGTTCTCATCGAATGAATTTGACTATTTAATTAATAATTGCTAACTTCTATCTGACTCCAGGATAAAGCAGGAATGGGATCTTGCACTTGTCAATGTGCTCACTGTGGCAGCATGCAATGCTGTAGTTGTTTGGTCACTTGCTCCTTGTCGATCATATGGAAACACATTTCGGTTTGATTTGCAAAATACCTTGCAGAAGCTTCCAAACAACATATTCGAAAAGAGCTATCCACTTAGAGAATTTGACTTGCAAAAGAGAATCCAATGTTTCTTTTACAAGGCTGCAGAGTTGTGCATGGTTGGATTGAGTGCTGGTGCAGTACAAGGTGCATTGTCAAACACTTTGGCTAGAAAAAAAGAGGGAAGGTAAGCAGGGATGAAACCGTGTTCAATTATATTCAAATTTGGTGGAACTACAAAAGCTAAATGCTAATTTTGTTGTATTTAATTTGACTTGGGAATTGCCTGCAGGTTATCTGTGACGGTTCCTAGTGTGAGCAGTAATGCATTTGGTTATGGTGCTTTCCTTGGAATCTATGCTAACCTGAGATACCAGCTATTATGTGGATTTGATAGAGCAATGATTAGCCATTTTGATGTTATTGGAGTTGCATTGTTCTTCAGCACAGCCTTGAGGTCTGTCTCTCCCGCTAAATCAATAGCATTTTTAGTTATTGAGCTGCATTTTTGGCTCCCTCATTGTCTCTGGCCTTTCACTTGTACTTCTTTTTGAATAATTGGCTTCATTAATGGAGCTGCACGTATCTGTAACAAATGTTTACGTTTGACTCTAGTAAAGAGACCTTTTGGTTAACAATATAAAACTAAAGGTTTGCTTGTTAATAGCATAATAGCATCGTGCAATTCACGTAATTGACTTCATCTTGTGAGATAAAACTTGTTGTTGACTCTAGTACTTGCAGGTTTGGTGGGATATTATTTAGAAGTGATGTTGCTTGAGCATTTATTTTGGGTTTTGTGCAGGGCATTGAATGTTCAATTAGGAGAGGCCTCCAGGCGTGCCTGGCTTGGAGTTGAGGTAGATCCCCTGGCTCATTCGGACGACCTGTTGAAAGTTTATAGGAGGTCTTCTGAGAATGAAGAAAAGTCATCTTCAAAATGGTTTATATCAAAGAATGCAGTTGTATCTGGGCTAGGGCTACTGGGCATCAAACAGGGCAGTCTAGACTCAACCACGGACTCAGTATCTTCAGCTCCTAAGGTGCGGAGAAAAAGAATTGTTCGGAAGAAGGTTGCTGCAGGATCAGCTTAATTTCTTCTGATGTAATCGTAGACACTGCTCAAATTTTGTTTTTTGCTTTTTGCTTTTTTTTGTTTGGCTGTGGTAGAATCTGCTAGATTGTCCTTGGTGATTTCTGGCTCCTCCACTGAACTCTGAAAGGGGTGACTTGGGGCCTTGATATTTTTCTCCACGTCAACTAAGTTTGAGGAGGATTCTTTTTCTTCTACTTCTGTCCAATTCTTGATATTGATCTTGTTGCTTTGGTTGACTGAATTTTTCTCAAGATTTTTCAATAAAATAGAGTTAGGGCTTGTAAGAAGAATTCTATTGTAAGTTGTATTGAGATTGACTCCATAATGTTGGTAGCTTCTCATCACATTTGCACAACAATTGCCGTAGTCCAATTACCCTGTCTCCGTGAAATGTTGATTCTTAGAAGTAAAGACTAAAGACCAATTGAGCGATGATGTTTCAAAGCATTATACCTGCATGTACACTCATTTCTCAGGTCCCTATACTCTTTGAAATTTCAATATAAGCATTGCAAGCCTTCACTGGCAATGAGCACAAGCACTTGACACTGCTGTACTAATATATAAGAACTGTTTCTAGCTAAATTCCAAGCAATTCACCAACTTGATATTCCTTTTACTTCTATTTGTACGATGTTTTTTTGAAACTTCTTATGGTTCTTAGCATGATATTAAAATTTGGGCTAACCCAGGTGGTTAAATTAGTAAACCATTGAAATAATGCCTTAACTAATTTAATAAAATAATTTATTCATGATTGGTTTGATGATATTTGATAACGTTTGAAATTAATGCTATGCTTTGGTTGGTTTAATAATTGGTTTGGTTTTACCTTCTTTAGTGTAATGTTTTTTTTAAAATAAAATCTATGCCATTTATAATAATCATTTCTTTTATTTGGAAGAAATATATTCAACTTAAAATAAAATGTTAGGTTTAATAAAGAGAAATTTTGAATGATGTAAGTGGTTAATTTCTCATAATATAACAAATCAATGTTTAAATTTTTATTAGAATTGAAAGAAGTACTTGTATTTAGTATTTAATTGTGTCTCAAACATAAAGCCTTCAATAATAAAAGGACACCCGTGCTTAATCCACAAAAAAAAAGGAACAATTTTGGAATATCACAAAAGCTTTTGATAAAATAAAAAAATTATTTAATTTTAACTATTTTACTTAATAGATGTAGTTTAGTCAAAAGAAAATTATAGAAGTAGAGGAAGTAGCAATAAGCTACTCACAGGTTGCTGTAAAAGGAAAATGCAAATTCTTTTTTGATAACAAAATGCATGCAAATTCTTGTTTGCGCCAGTAAACCAGAATACCATAACTTTCTTTCGTGATATTAGCTTGACAAACGGCCATCTGAACGGTTTCCAATGGCTACTCTCTTCGCTTTCTCTGCTTCTGTTCCTCCTTTCAAATTTACCATCGATTCTCAATCTTCCCTCTCCACTTTTCGCTCAAACGCTCTATTCTCTTCCTTTCTCCCAAAATTCCCTACCCCTCTTACCATAATATCCTTCTCCGATTCTTCGAAATGGAACAAAGGGCTTCTTTTTTCCCAGGTTTTCTCAGCAGAAGCGGAGATGTTCAGAGCCTCAAGGAGGAGCTTTATGAGACACTAGCACCTCTTGATCGAGGCGCTGAGGCTACACCTGAGGATCAAGAACGTGTGGACCTGGTGAAGCTTGAGCATGCTTCTGAAACCTCTCGAATTGTACTTCCGTTTTTTTTTTTAATTTGCTGTCTTATTAATAATTGGGCCTTTTCTAGATTGCTCGTAAACTTGAGGCCCTGAACTCTGTAAAGGAGCCTCTCAAGTCCGATTTGCTGAATGGGAAATGGGAGCTTCTGTACACAACATCTCAGTCCATTCTGCAAACACAGGTTTGTGACTGTGTAACAATGGTTAAAACTTGGTTAGTAGACGCATCCTGTCCGTATTGACTATTATTCGGTTCATGTGACTTCATTTCTCTGAAAATGTATAGTTGCATGGCTTTCCACTCTCAGTTTTTTCCACGGACTACAATTATTATAGGTTAATATATGAGAAGAGTACAACAAATAGACTATTTAGTCTGATGGATAAGAAGCTTCAAGAATTAAGAACCACCTCAAATCTTGAAGGGGCAGATTAGATATCAAATTCATACAGGTTCTTGAAGGGGCAATGCGGAAGTTTACAGATTCCGTTTCATTCGTCATGTTTACACTTTCTGCTCTTTTCTTGGTATGATATAAAGGGTTGAAACTTGAAACCGTCTGTTTTGACGACTTATCAGAATACCTGAGAAAATTTTGTTAGCTGAGATATTGGATTGATTCATATTTTCTGTGCATGGAGTAAATGGTGGGTGGGTTATCGTACATGGTCACCATGTCTGAGTTGATCCTGCGCTCTGTTTTTGCAGAAAAGTTACATGTAATCTGTTCTTTGTTTCTTCTTATGATATGAGTAACTTGTTGCTTTCTTAACTTTATTCATTTTCCTTATTAAAGTGAGGATTGATTGTGGTTATGGTAGAGACCAAAATTCTTGCGACCGAACGGAAAGATCTATCAGGCAATTTATCTGGATACTTTGAGGGCTCAAAATTTGGAAACTTGGCCTTTCTACAACCAGGTACTCCTACTTTAAAAGCTGTTTTCATTATTCGGAAACTTTATTAATGTCAACTCAGTCATTTCCTTGTCATTCAGGGAAACATTGTGAGAACCAGCCGTTGACATATGTTACCCCGTTTTGTTCTTAGACACCCTATGGTAGCCAATGGATCCGCTGTGGGCTTATCTTTTCTGTTTCTAAGAATATTTAACATGGATTGAAGTGCTGGTTGCTACATGGGGCACTTGCACTAAGAGTCTTAAGAACTTTGGCAAGAAACTTTTTAATCTTGAATGAGTCACAACAATATCTATAGAAGCGGCAGATCCCAAGACAAACTATAAATGACCTTGTTTAAGCTCCTTGGTAAACTAAATTCAGGTCCCCTATGTTAATTTGTATGAATTATAGGAGGGAATCTAGATATTTAGTTTCCAGTTTACAAATACTTTTGAGTAAATTACATTAACTTTCTCTGAATTCTTCAAATTATATATACATAATACATCTCTCCTTTATTTTTCAAAACAAAAAGAACGTTTCAGATATCTCTTTTGAGTTTTACTAAAATTATACTTCCTTTTATTTCCAAAACTTGCATAAATAATCATCATAGAAACAAGGAATAAATTACATAGACATGAAATGATATTAGCTTCCTTCCTACTTTCAAGGGAGGTATTGTAATTTACTTATTGTTTTAATGGTGGTTAAGTTTTTAAAATAGAGGAGATGTGTGGTTTTAACAAAATTCAAGGGAGACTTGGATGGATTTTGGAGATAAAAAGGAGGTCTATGTAATTTCAGTACACTTTTCTCTTCCATTATTTTCAAATATTTTTTCATTGCTTGAGAAATTCAGTATTATTTGGAATTAGGAGCCTACAAATTTCTCACTATTGCTGCAGGCTACTGCTAATTTAGTTCCTCTAAACTCAAGAAGGGTGGCTGTCAAGTTTGACTTATTCAAAATTGCTAGTCTGGTAGGTAATGTGTGGTGCTAATCACTTTTTATTTTTGGTTTATTGACCACATGCTCATACAATAATATCCTGATGTTAGAGCTGGACTATCTACCTCCCAAAATTTTCTTTTACTGAATTAAGCACCATTTTTTTATTCCAGGTGAATTGCTTCTAGCACTCCTAGACACATGCGTCGTTGATACACTTGATGATATGTAATAATGTGGTTGATCCCGTATCTATGCCAACCATATTTTCGGAATGCCAATGCTGATTTTGCACCTGTAACTAGATACATGATAGTTGTACCAAAAAAAAAAAAATCTTAAAATTGTACTGAAAGGGTGATAATTTAGGTCCTGATTAGTTGTTAGAAAGGAATGAAATAGAATGGATTAAAAAAATAAAGGTAAAAATAAGATAATAAAAAATGTGGAGGGATAGATTAACCAACCATATTTATAAGGGAGAAGGGTAATTTAGTTCGTGAGTTGAGAGTCATGAATCATGAAATTTTTGAGGGTGTGATGATTTTTACATTTGTAATATAATATTCAGCTTTATTATGCTTCCCATGAGGGGGAAAGACAATTTAGTTCTTTTTTGTTTTGATTTTTTTAATCCATTCATTTCCTATCTTTTCTAGCAATCAAACAGGAACTGAGGTTTTTTTTTTTTTTTTAAAGGAATAGAGACCAGAGGAGATATTTTAAGGCAAGATCTTGGATTGAACTTACAGGCATCCCAATGCAGATGAATATTAAGCCGTATGAGAGTTTAGCTAATAACCATAATGGAGAGAGTATCTTTTTTTCTTTTTTCCACTTTGGATCACAGAACCAGAGATGTCATTGAAACTAAATCCCTTCTCTGAAAGATCTTGAGAGCATAATTCCACTCATTGGCTTACTACACTGAGGATTTTTACTCCTAGAATGCTTGCTCGTTAAAGGAATTCAATCTGAAGTTGTTGAGGAGAGATACTATCTCCTCTAAGCTAATACCTTTGCAATGAGTTTCATGGTTAATGTTATGGTTTTTGATTGTTCTGGCAGATATTCGTGCTGCTACATGCATAGCATTGTAACTTACTGTTGATTTGACTTCATCTCAAACATACAAATACAACGCATCTTTCTTTATCTTTATGTGTGTAAGTTATCTATTTTTACTAATAAATGGTTTTATGAATGCTAATCTCAGATACCTATTAAATCACCTGGGAGCGGTCGTGGTCAAATAGAAATTACTTATCTGGATGAAGATTTAAGGTAAGTCCTTCAGTTATGAGAGGTTGCATATATTGTTGTCCGTGTCTCACATGCTCACATGACCTATTTGGCCACTTCATTCTAGTATAATAACATAGCTTCTCCTTTTTTTAAATCAAAACAAAACTTCTATTTATATACAATCTTACATAACAAACAAAACATCATTCTAAAATCAGGATGATAATGGATTTGGCATTATATTTGGTCCCTATAATTTTGATTCAGTTGTAATTCATTCTTAAATTTTAATTTAGTATAACTTTAATTTTATAATTTTGACTCAATTAAAACTCATTCTCTAAATTTTGACTCATTACAACTCAATCCTTATAATTTTAATATATATATTTTTTTAATAGGAAAGAGATACAGGGCATCAAATTTTTTTTTAAAAAAAAAAAAAAACAAGCAGCCTAGCCTAAAGTTAGGGAACATAACCTATTATCATCCTCCGCTTAAGACAATAAGGTAGGAGATGATCAAAGATAATCCAACCTAGGCTAGTACCCAACAGACATATCCAAAGGGCACATTCCAAGGTACCTACTTAGTAGAATCATTCCGGGCTTCTTTCTTCAAGTTCCAATCAATTCATTCAGTGGCATTCAAAAGCTTGAATTGGTTCCAAAGTTCTGGTTTGACAAGTATTTTCCACCTAGAATCTGCATGCGCACAATCTCTCAGAAGATGGAGAGCGTCTTCTCTTCTATTGCATCCCAGCAGGCACTGGTTTGAAGGCAACAAACCCCATTTGAATCTCAGCTCCGAAGTGTGTGACCTGTTATTAGCCGTCAGCTGTAAAAGTACTTTGAACTTCTCAGGTCCCTCCCATCTTCAGATTTTAGTCCAAGTTGCACCCGGGGCAGCATGTGTACCTTGGTTTTAGCAATTTAAAACATTAGTCTAAGTTTAAAGAAATAATTTTGATCCTTATAATTTTATTTTTCAAAATATAAGAACTAATATTTTAAAAGGTTAAAATTATAAAAATTGAGTTGTAATTTAATTAAAATTATAAAGACTAGGTTGCAAATTCAAGCTTAAGTTTTAACTAAGTCAAAATTATAGAGACCAAAATATTAATTTTCCCTAAAAATAAATGTGTTTTGATAATTATCGTTAGTCCCTTATGATAATTGAACTATTTTTAGTTTTTGCAAGACAACTTGAGTAGGTATAGCTATGACTAGTCTGAATATCTTTCTTCTGAGTTATCATTTCCTAACAGAATAACAAGAGGTAACAGAGGGAACTTGTTCATTCTGAAAATGGTGGATCCATCCTACAGAGTCCCCCTTTGATTTATTGACTGTAGCAGTTGGTAGCACAATTTTTATTTTTATATTTATGTGTCCATGCAAGCACGTGACACACGCGTGTGCTTGCTTAAATTTTGTTCGAATGTTAGCCTCTTTGCACTCTATAAGCAATACGAGATAATTGAACATTAATTTAGTAGTGACCCTAAATTTATGTTTTTTTTTATTTTATATTATACATGAAGAGCACAATAATTAGTGTTTTTTTTTCTTTTTTTTTTTTCCATTCTCCATTCCTGAGCTAGTAATTACTAATTAGTATGACTAATGTCTTCTTTACTTTTACTTAACGGTATTATATTTCAGGCTATCTTCAAGTCAAATTTTGGATAGTTCATAACAATTTAGTGTATTCAAAATTAAAATTTTAGTTTTAAAATACTCTTTGAAATTAGTAAACGGAAATTGATAAATGAAAAATTATATCCTGCTGTTTAATACATAGAAAAACATTTTTTTACAAAGAAAATGAAAAAATGTATTTAGAATAAAAAATGAGGCAGGTGCATTTCTCATTTTTTAGAAAACAATTTCTATTTATCAAATATCACATAAAAATCTCTTTCCCTTTAATTTGAAATCTCATGAATTTTCAAGTTTTAAAATAAATTTTAATCACACAAAATACATATAGTTGAAAGATTTTTGGTTTCTAAAACCTTTAAAAAAAGAAAAAAGAAAATTGTTTCTTGCAATGGTGCCCACCAAGAGTATCAATTACGGTTCGAGGATCCGAGGCTTTCAAGTTATGTTTAATGCTAATGTCCTAATTACAGTTAAAAGAATTATCATTAGGAAAAAATTATTCTTGACTAAAATTGTAATTTTTTTGGGTCAAATTTTTTATTATAATTGTAATAATTCTTGTCAAAAATGTCTTAATCATAATTGGTTCATAGAAGGAACCAGTTTCATTGCTCGTTTGGGGATTCATCGCCACTAAACCATTTAGATTTAATAAAATGGTTCAGATTTATAACTTTTTACTTTTGTATTTTTTCAAAAAATTATTTTAATATAAAATAATGACAATGTTTTAATTGTCAGTTTTTTTAAAAAGTAATTTTTATTTAAAAAACACAAGAAGCTGTAAATATAAACTATTCAGATTAGATTTGAACAATTCAAAAGTAATAAGCTCCCAATACTTATATATATGATGAGTATTGAAATTGGTTCCTTCATAGAATTATATTTGTTGGTGAATAATTCTTGTTTTAGTTAAAAGTATCAATTAAACAACTAAAAATGTTTCTGAAATCATCATTTTTATGGTACAATTTTTGCAGGATTTTTATTGTACAATGTTAATTAACAATTTCTATATATAATTTAACTATTTTCTTTTCACTTTGTGTTTTTTTAATTTTTTTTAGTTAAACATTAAGTTGCCAACTTATCAATTAATCAACAGTCAACATAAAATTAAAAAAAATTAAATAGCCACTTTCCATAACGTAGTAATTATTTGTGTATACGTATGACTTAACATTTGGAAACATCATTATAATCTAATTTTTTTAATACATATTTTTATTGTATATTTAATTTAATTTTTTTAAAGTTTTAAAAACAATTTGAAAAATTTTTGAGAAATAACGAGAATGTATGCTCCACATAATATAAATATGCCGACACTCTATCATGATACGTAGTTAATAATGATGAGGTCCCAAGTTTGACCCTATGATACATGTCTGTGGCCATTGATGGTGCATGAGTGGATATTTGATTTTCCCTTTCCTGAAGAACTGGGAGTAAAAAGTTTTCTTAAAGAAAGTTAATGATGTGACTTATCTTTTAACAAGGCGGGAAAAAAAAAAAAAAAAGTCATCACAAACCAAACAATTGAGGAAGGCGAAATGGAGGATGCTTCCATGAGTCCAAAGCAGTGAGAGCCGAAAAATACAACAAATAATTTCGTTCATATTTTCGTCATCGATTTCATAAACCGTTAACTATGCTGCTTCTTCTCCTTGCCTCTCACAATAACTAACACATCCACGCGAAGAAGCCGAAGAAGGAGCCCTCTCTCCTCCTTCCTTCATGGCTTCTTCATTCTCCTCTCTTCGCTTTCCCTCCCCTAACCCTAATTCCTGTCTCGTGCGTCCTCCTCGCACCCCAGCGCTCAACTTTATCGTCAATTCCTTGCCACCGCGCAGGCTCCAATGCTCCGTCACTCCTCCTCCTCCTCCCTCGGAGGAAAAGTCGTTGGCGGTAGCCACCGGCGAGATTTTCTTGAGACTTGCTTCGCGACTGATTAATCGCCGGAGCAACGGCACTGTTGTGGGCGATTCCAGCCCTGGAACCATGTTTGAGGGTTCAACCGACAAAACGGCGTTGTATGAGGAGCGGATCGGGGCGGTGATTGAGGATGAAGTTCAGCCTGGGGTCCTGTGGGAGCAGAGGGTTGAGGACGTTGAGGCTGAGCGGGAAAGGCGCGTGGTTACCAGTCCTGGGTTTAGCTTCTCGGCAGCTGGGCTTTTGTTTCCTTATCATCTTGGAGCGGCTAAATTTCTCATTGAGAAGGGTTACATTAAGGTAAACTATTAATTTCGGGTTAAGGACTCCAGTCCGAAGGTTCCTGTTATTTTATCAATTAATTTTTGCTTTATGGATATTATCGAGATAGAATATTTGTAGCACCGGAGTTTCAATTTCAAATGAGAAGTTTGCAACAAGGTCTAGAATTTTATTTATGCTCATACGAATGTAGGTAGTTAGTTATCATGAAAACTTTTGGAGCTTGATAATCCCCCGTTCTGGAATTTTTTAACGATTTATGAGTTACTTTGTTTTCTACGCTACAATGAAAAGTGATGTGCATTTTTTGCTAGTAGTAGCAGTAGTCATGCTCGATACACTATCTTTTGGCATTATCCATGCTTAAAGTGCAAGTTTGTTCATTATTCCACTTTGAAATGAAAACTTATTCAATTTATTTATTGAAGCAGGAAACCACGCCATTGGCTGGTTCCTCTGCTGGAGCTATAGTCTGTGCTGTAATTGCCTCTGGAGCTAGTATGGAAGAGGCCCTGAAAGCTACCAAAATATTGGCTGAAGATTGTCGGAGTCGGGGAACTGCATTTCGGCTGGGGGTATGCTTATAATCCAAAAGAATTTGATCTAGTGGTATCTATAAGTAGCCAAAGCCAATTCCTAATTCTTGTTGTGGAGCATTTTATGGATCAGTGATGAAACCATATTCTTTGTTGTTTCTGAGATTTGCCTTATAGATAACATATTAGAAAATGTAGAAATGCATGTTTTGGTCCCTCAAAGATTTATATGTCATTTATTTGTATTTTTAATTTAACTCATATGACTATTGAATTTTTAGCTTGGTATTCATTAGTCCCTAAAGCTCCAAATTCTCAGGGATTAAATTGTATGTAGGTAAAATAATAAATAAAAAGTGTTTTCTCTGAAATTTGATCCTAAATGGGGATTGAGAATATTACGTTATGCCCCTTAGAATTTTTCCCCCCATTTCAGCACCCCTTATTTTTATGGTGTCTTTTATCTCATTCGTTGAAGCAGAAATTCCGTGGTGACCCTGTTTCATTCTTCTGTCTTCCCTACAAATTTCGGTATAACGCTGATCACTGTAGTTTTCTGACCAGCTATTTCTTTACTGCCACTGTTTATATGACGTATGATTAATGTATATTCTTGGAAAAATAAAAAGAGGCACTTCAATATGTTCCCGTGAGAAGCTTTGTATTTTAGGGTTGTGAAAATTGAATAAAGTTCTTGTCCATGATGGGAAGTTGCTTACATCAATTGTAGTATGCTTCTTGTGGTTGATATCCTAATCGCCCAAATTTCACTTCTTCTAGCTCAAATTTTGTTCTGCACAGGCTGTTCTCCGTGATGTTCTTGAAAAATTTTTGCCAGATGACACTCATATCAGATCTAATGGGAGAGTTAGAGGTAGGACTGGATATTTTGGAAGTTCCACTTTTCTTAACAGAAGGTTTTGTATTGAAATAATTAATGCTGAGAGCTTCATTTTTATTAATGAACATACAAATGATGGCTTCTCCCCTAGGATTTTATTTAGTTTCAGTGTTTTTATTTCATTGTTTCTTCTGTTGCAGTTGCTGTGACACAGCTTCTTTGGAGACCCAGGGGTTTATTGGTCGATCAGTTTGATTCCAAGGAAGATCTCATCAATGCTGTTTTTACTTCTTCCTTTATTCCAGGGTGATTTGTTAGTATACTATTTCAACTTGATTTGTGTGCTATTGGTCCATCCAATATCATTAAATAATTAAGGAAACTAAGCTAATAATTTATATCTTACCTTTCAGATATCTTGCACCTAGGCCAGCAACACTTTTTAGAAATCGTCTATGCGTTGATGGGGGTTTGACATTGTTTATGCCACCAACATCTGCTGCACAAACGGTATATTAATGACTTAATGTGCTGGTTGGGCTCTTTAGATTCACCCGATTGATTATCTATTTTTAACCTTAAAATAAGTGCATTGAGGAGCATTATAAAATTATTAAATTAATATGACTATGCAAATTGAAGAAATCCAAATCACTTTATCATGTGAAGTTTCATCAGGCAAGTTCATTCCTAGACTGTTGTGATTCTTACTTTTTTTCCCCCCAGTTTATTATGAAATATGAACATCAATATTTTTCAGTATTTATTCCAAAGATGATTGAACATAGTTATGATATGCCATATCTATGATCAAATTTCTACCTCAATGAAGTTCTTTTTGCTTCTATAGGTTCGTGTTTGTGCTTTCCCAGCAAGTCGATTGGGACTGCAAGGGATAGGGATCAGCCCAGACCGCAATCCTGAAAACATGGCTAGTCCTCGACAGGTAACCTTGCATTTTTTGGGGGGTATAAATATCATATAGCCTTGCAAATATTGAAATAACAATATGAAAGCATTGGTGCAATTTTTAACTGTCTGGTATCAGGTTCTTTGATAGGATTGTAATAGAAAGGGGGGGGGGAATGCAGGTTCTTGACTTCTTGTATAGTTATTGTCAGGTTTTCTAGTCAGAACATGATAGGCATTTCATTTTTGCAAACAGCTGTATATAGTTTTGATTTAAATCATACACCTGTCATGTTATTGTAGAGAATCATAAAATTCGATTTTATTTCAATAGCCTGGTGCTAATTAAGATGTGAAGATAAATATATAAAGAACTGTATATAGGGTTTTTATATTACCCTTGTTATGTGACCCTTGTTATGTGAACGAGCTTTTCTGAAAGGACCATTAGTGTGGAGCTGAATTGTAAAAGAACTTTGATGAGTTGTATTGGACAATTAGATTGCTGACTCATAAGAAACTTTAGCCATTCAATTGGGCAATGAAAGTTAGGCTTTGAAATCATTTCAGCTACTCAACTGGGCACTGGAACCAGCAGAAGATGGAATCCTCGACCAGCTCTTTGAGCTTGGATATCTCGATGCAGCTGTCTGGGCATTGGAGAACCCTGTTGAAAAAATACTGCAAGATAATGTACCTTTGGCTTGAAGTAGAGTCCTATATGGGGATTACTGATGGTCAAAGGAGCTTGTTGTAAATCCTTGAAAGAGAAAATCAAATTAGAAAACGCAGATGTGGGAGGAAATCTAAGTGGTATATAGGTGTTATTAACTAATAGTTACACAGGACGTAAATATGGTTTTATTGATCTTGTATATTGTAGAAGGATACGGAATTTCTATGTTCTCTGCAGTAGTAAGAGAATAGATGCCAGCTTACATAAAAAAAGGGTACAAAAGGGAAAGAACAATTTATCAAAATTATATATCAAAAAGGTCATTTATTTTATTTTGGGGGAATAACCAGCAAGGATCTCATAAGAATATTATTGCCAACTTAAGGTTTTTCAAAGATTTTAGTACTGAAATATGGGAGAAAGGGTATTGAATTTGGGAATTGTAGTTGTGAAGAGAACTTGACATTAATATTCTTATGAGTTTCTTATATGTCATTTTCTCTTTTATTTTTGGTAGACCACGATTGTAGTTAGGAGTGTCTTTTATTTTGAGCGGAACCTCGACCCCCCCCCCCTCCCAAAACTCTGTTGTTATACCTCTTATCAACAGCTTTGGTAAAAAAAAAAGAACTAAGTGACAGGATTGCAAATTAATGGAGTATAAATTACAAATGAACCATCTTAATTCTTTCTCAATTTTCATACATACTGTGCGCAGTATGTTGTGATATTTAAAATTTAGTAATAAACCCTCCTAAACTTGTAAGTTTGTGCTAGTTACCCTCAATCAATAACTATGTACTCCTTAAACTTTATTTGTCTGCATATAATCCTCTTCAAATTCTGAGTTATTTGCAGATAACATCTAAATTTTTAGCTATGGACAGATAAGTAATAAATAAAACTAATAATAGGAAAGTTATCCGCATAAATGCATGAGTTTAGGGGGTGTTTATTGTAAAATTTCGTGAGTTGGGGAAGCTGTCTATTCATATGTATGCATGCTTATCGCAATTTTAGCATTTTCAGATATTTTATATGCCAACAACAGTTATGATGATAGAAATCCTTCCGGCAATGAAATTGAATTAAAATTTGTATGCTTAGATCAACTTTGACATTTATGGATACCAGTAAAATTATAATTGGGAGAATTTCATTATAGCCCCGGTAACCAATTTAATTAGAAATCAGGATCAAAGAAATCTAATAAGACTATACAGGCATTTGGACAAAAATGAAAATAACTTGAGAGTAAGCTAATTGATTAAATCACCCATGAATTCAAATGAAGAAAGAGCATCTAGGAAAAACCTTTTTCCGAAATCAAATAATTGCTTTGAGCAAGTGCAAACTTCCCATGCACATCACTCTTTCCATCAAAATGATCAATCACGATTTTTGAGGAGATTGAAATTGATTTCTCATTTCTCGACTCTCTCCGTCCCGGAAAAGGTTCAACTTTTCTTAAAGAATAAAATCAATAATTCAAGCTAAACCATACAGAATAGTTGGAATAAATCCAAAAATGTTTTGGGTTAAACATTATAAAATAATAATTTTTTAATGTTCAGACTTATTTGAGCTTTATAAAAAATTCAGGCCAAGCCCAATCAACTTGGCCTGGATATCTAAATAAAAAAATTATTTTTTAAAATTATGTAAAATATAATAAATAATTCTTTAAGTTTTATGTCACTTAATATTAAAATATTATATATTTGAATGCATTATATAGATTTTTTAAAAAAATTAAAAGTATTTATATTGTCATATTTTTATTATTTTTAATTTATAATCTATCCCAAAATAATATATAAAATGTATTTTAATATTTATTTTTATATTTCAAGAAACATATTTTTTAAAAAAATTAAGTCTTATACATTGTTTAAGTATTCAAAAAATATATAATATATTTTTTAAGAAATAAAAAATAATTAATCTTACAGTAAAAAATTAATTTTAAAAATAAAAATGCAGGTATTCATGCTACCACAAAGTTTGAATGAATTTGGACCAGATATAGCCATTTGAGCTTCTCAAGAAGTTTGGACTTGTTCAAGACAGGCTTATTTGGGCCCACACAAATTACTGGTTCAATTATTGATTATCATTTTAATGCAAATATGTCCCCATTTCTTATTTTAAAGGTAGTTTATTCATTTATCAATAAAGCCATCAATTAGGGCCAAGCTTATCAGGCTAACTAGTTTAAACCTAAAAATAACTAGGGTTAGGTCACTATTTTGAAGCAAAAAATGGCAATTCAGGCTAAAAAAGGTTAACCCTTTTAAGCACAAAAATAAAAAGGTCAACCCTTTTAAATCCTTTTATTATTTTTTTAAAAATTTTAATTTAAAAAATAGAAGGTTAAATATATAACTAAAAGAAATAAATACCTTAGACTCATTTGTCCCTTTCTCATTCATTCATTAAGATTTAGTTGATAATATTAGCTGAATCTAATTTTTATTAATGTTAATTTTGATGCTATTATTTGATATTAGACTTGAATGTTTAAGTTTTCTATATTTGTTGTGGTGTGAATTGATTTAAATTTATTTTTTAAATTTAATCTTATATGTAATAACTTTTTAAAAAATTATAAATATATTTTTTAAATTTAAATTTAAAAAAGAAAAAAAAAATAAGGCTGAAGCCTTGAGGGTCGACCTTTCAGCCTTGAGGATTGGGATCGAGCTTTATAAAAGGGAGCCTTGTGATATAATCAGGCTTATTAGGGTAAGCTCGTTTAGACCCTTGCCCTTCAAGAATTGATCCTAATTGACGGCTTTATTTATCAAGTTATTTTCATTTTAATCCTAGATACATGTAATATATTATCTTTTTTTTTTTGCTCTTGACTTTTGATTAAATTGTTACAAAGGTCCTACATCTAAATTCTCACATATTAAGTTGATACAAAAATAAAAGTAATAAAGTCAAACATGAAAAATAAGGGTCGTTAGTCAACAGCTAAAGTCAAAGTGTGAAGGGATGAACTTTATTTATTTATTTACTTTGGTGCTAATATTTTCTGATAAATACGTAAGCCTAGGCAATATTCATAATATATTAAATAAATATAAAATTATTTAAAAAGAGACTAGGCGGTGGCAGTACAAGATAATATAATACTCGATGCTTAATAGCACAATATGAAAAATAGAGTCACATATTTGTTTTTTAACTTATACTTTAAACTTAAATAAAAGTAAACTTGTCAAATTATTTCATATTGAGACCAGTTTAATGATTAATGATTTAATTATTTATGAGATATTTAAATTAACGCTCTATTTACAACCGAAAGGTTTACTATTTAAATGGGGCTAATGATAGCTCAAATAGATGATAAAGTTACGAGAACAAAATCAAAGACAAAACAAACTTGCTGGAGCCTAGGAACCTAGGTACAACTCATGCCAATGTGAAAAATAGAGCAACAAAATTCTCGAGAAACTCTCAAAATTTTGGAGATTTACAATTGAATATATGCTATTTTTGTAGTCTAAAATGATGAGAAGGATTGAGTTAAATCTGACGGGTCAGCTTATATAAACCTAAAAAATTTGAGAATTGAACTTGAGAGTTTAAAAAATTAAAATTAAATAAAATAAAAACTAAAATAAAATAATATTTAATAATTTAAGTGATTGAATTAGCTTGAATAAGCCTGAAAAGCCTAAAGGATTAGAGTTGAACTTAGCAGTATGAGCTCCTTCTTATATAGTAAACTATTTTAAACTTGATCTGAATAAACTTAATTCAAATTGAGCCTGACCTAAATCAGTTCAATCTACCTGAATTATTGACTCTAATCTAAAGTTATGACAAGGGTAACTTTGTCAACTCACTTTAAAAAATAAAAATCAAAGAAGGACCATGATTCTTCAATAAAATTTCAATAACTGAAGGTTTGGAATTGGAATTAATGGCTCAGCAAAGGTGATAATAATCATTTTTCATAATTTTTATTAAAAAAACAGAGAGAGAAAAATCACAATCAAGTCTCAAAATATAATTATTTTTCAGTCTATTTATAAGTCTAATTTTTATATTTATAGGTGAACGAGATTTATAAATAATTATTTTTTATCCCGACTCTGCACCGCACCCTAAAAAAAAACAAACAAACAAACAAAGAAAGTGAAATGGGACAGATACTTTAGAGTTTAAAAAGTGAAAAAATAGTGCCAATAGTATGGGAGTGGTAAAAGTTAGGAGGTGGCCCATAACGTACCATTCCTACTCGTACTGTCTGTCCACATTAACGACACCGAAGTCTGTTGCATTTATTTGGAAATTAAACAACCACGCTCAACTATGTTATATATGTATGTATGTATGTATGTTCAGATCGTGGTTCAAATTTCATTTGATTTGAATTATCCAGGATTTAGAGTCTGATTCATTCAACTTTTTTGTTCATGAAATGAAAAATCAACTTTAATTTATTTTTAAAAAAATACTTTAAAGGAATTGTTGTATTGTTTATTCAATTAAAAATGATTAATTAATCAGAAGCTGAAAAATAATATTGATTCTTCCGAGATACTCCATTCATTCAAAAATATAAGATATTTTTAACTAAATTTTGTTCCTAATAAAGTAATTACCTACTTTCTAACTAACCTTATTTTTTTATATTTATTCTTATTAAACACTCTATAATAAATATAAAGTCATTATCAATAGAGGCACTTTAAAAAAAAGATAATGATTACACTTTAAAATATTAAAATTACCTTATTTTTTAATATTTAATTTTTTAAAAAATATTTATATTTTTGACTGAGGAAGTATTATTTTAGGCTTGAATATCTTTTGGAGATAAGTAACAAAGGGAAAACAGAAAAGCAGGCAGCCAATGACATTGTGACCCAGTGTCATGAAAGCTTCCTATGGCCAAAATTATATGTTAGTGTGACTCTCTTGAGAATACTACATATTTGTGACATAAACCTTGGCATTTTGCATTTAAAAACCCTTAATATTCTAAATTACATGCCCTCTGACTTTAAATATTTTGGGGTTTTGGCTTTACCATTAACTATAAGTAGAAAGCCACATACTATATATAATTTCATGCCATTATAGCACTTCTCTGAACAAAATGATTTGCATGAGAAACTGTTTTAAGTTTAAATATTTTTTAGAGAGAAAACTGAGCAATAGTCAATGGTTTTATGTTTTAGTATAGCATGATAGCGCACCTATACAAGTGAAAGGTTACGGGTTTGGCCATGTTTATAACTTCACGCCGTTATCACATGCTTTACGAAATTTAAAAAAAAAAAAGAAAAGAAAAAGATGGAGGAGGTAGATGATATGTTCCATGGGAACTCTCAAAAAAAAAAAAACAAAAGAGAAGAGAAGAGAAGAGAAGTTTCAAATTAAAGGGTTGAAAACATACACAGAGAAGGATGGTAGCTCCCACCATACCCCCACAAGTCCTACATCTCCATGCACGCTTCTATGTATCTCTCTCTCTCTCTGTCTCTCTCTGTCTGTCTTTATTATTTCCACAAAATGCCACCTTCATTCAAACCCTCATCATACCCTCCAATTATGTCTACTTTTTCTCTCTTTTATTCCTTCTCCATCCATCCCACACACCTACCCACCAGACCAAACCCTCTCTTCTCTCTCCTACTCTTTTGCTCTCTAGGGTTTCTCAGAGGCCTTGTTCCATAGCCATTTTGGCATTCTGTCCACCTCCCTTCTCTCTGGATTGAGCAGAGACAGAAGCACACATTATAGATAGAAATCAATGGAGGTGGCCGGTGTGCCAAAAGGGTTCTGCGAATCTGTCTCTGAGAAACCTACTTGAGAGCTTCCTCAGCTCATCATCAATTCCTGGATATGCAGCTTAAACTCTGTGCGCGCGCGCTCGTTTATGTGACCATAATCTTAATCATGTTTCTTATGTGTGTGTATATATTGACACGCTTACACACACACACAGACTTGTCTCGATCTTCTTACTGCTTCCAGCAACACACACACACTCACTCAGATTTCTCAGTCGATCTCAGACGAGTTTTCATTTTGCAGGTTCATATGTATAGTTTGAATCAGCTGCAAGACTTTCAAGTATGAAAAGTGGTCCAGAATCTCTCATGGGGTATTATTTTGCAGGTTAATTCTTGGAGACTGACACAGATAAATCTGATACGATAGAATCAATTCGTACGCATATTCAAAGTGTACATGCTACTCAATACGGTTCCTTGTACGATGAAAGTACTAGCTAGCTAGCAAGCTACATCAATGGTGGTATAGAGCACATCATGTGATGGATCTTCTAGAAGAACCTGAGTGGACCATGAAGATTATATATTATGCTCATGAAGGCAAAGTAAAGTATGGTCTTCATTAATTTCCAGCAGCGAAAAAGAAGAACATTAATTTCTGATAAATTTTGACACAACCCTAGTTTGAACTAAAGTTCTAGATATGATCCCTTTTCTCTTTTCTTTTCCTTTTCTTCAGTGCAGGTCAACCACTCGATCTACGCCTTATCGTGAAATATTATCAAAGTTTTGTCTCATCAGAAGACATGTTAATACTTAATAGATTATTTTCTTGACAAAGTGATGGTATCAACGAGAAAGTTTCAGACTCATGATAATATGAACTGACTTTTAATTACTCAACCAACGGCTAGGTTGGCGAAAAGTGACCATATATTTAATTCTGTATTATATATATGTTTTTGTATTGAGGAGGGTCCTAAATTAAAATTTGGTGTTGGGTAGTAATGATGGGGAGAATATAATGAAGCCTTTTGATTTCACTTTACAAAATGGTGAAAGCATGAGATGATAGCGAATGATTGCGTGTGGATGGTAGTTGTAGAACTTCCATTGGTCATGAATGGCTCAATATTCTTTTTGCAGCATTGGATTCCTTCAAGCATTTACACAAGTCAGATCAGAGAGATCAAATTGATGAACTGCTAAAACAATTAATTATATTGAGAGACCACCAATTAATTACTTATTACTTGTAGTGTGTTTTGGTGTTAATTAATTTGATCCTACCTAGCTAATCCTTCCGTCTTTATTAATAAAATATTTTTAATTGAATCTCTTGTACCAATTAAAGTTTGTTATTTGATTGAAATCATATACAATTGCAATTTTCTAGTTGTTTTTTTAAAATGTCACAATTAATATCATGGTGGTAGTGGATACAACACACAATTAATGTCCCATCCATTTATCAAGATAAGAGCAAAATCATCTAATTATTTAAAAATACCATGATATCTCTTATATTTAGAAGCAAAATAAACTTATAGAAATTAAAACACCTTATATATGGAGATAGAGGAAGCACTTACACATGCACAATATTGAGCAACTTTACCTGCCGCTGCCACCACCATCCTGACTGGTATCTCAGTTACCCATCAATAGATACAAGCAAAGAAAATATCTCTAATGATGCTTTTAAACTAATAGTTTGAGTTGGTAACTACTCGCCAGAGTTAGATTTTTTTCATAGAGCATCAAGTAAATATTTATTTTTGGTATGCAGTCTACCTACGTTGAGTTGAGGGGATTTTAATGAGAATTTGAACTATAATCCATATCAAGTTGGGATAAGATCTTTCAGGATAGAAGCTTTGCCATTAACGTTGTTGCATTCCCAAAGCTTGATATAGAAACCTCTAGTTAAATTGACATAACTCCCTTACCCTTAATAATCAGTTGAATCAAACGTCTAGTAGTTGGGCGCAGTCAGATTTATACATGTGGAGAACCAAGATCTTGAAAAGCATACACAAGTATAAAAATGCTACTCCCTCCTATCCTTATTATATGAGGTCTTCTAGAATGATTCTTTTTTTGTCTTTAATATAGGGCTATGAAGTATTAATGATGTTTTTTTTGTAATATTATCCCTATTTAAACTCATTAATTATATTAAGAGAAATATACAAATTTAAAAATTTTTTATTTAAATAGAGGTAACCTCTTTTTGATTCTGGTGAGGTAGTTAAAGATACACCTTATAATAAGGACAAGAGAAAATACTTTACATAGATTAAAAAATTGTTTAATACCGTGACTCTAAAATTGTGCAGAAGTAGACTGTGTAGAAAATCAAAACTTTCTATACTGGCTACATGATACAATGTTTGATAAAATTCCGAAGGCGGAAATATATAATACTTATATAATTATATAATATTAATTAGAGAGAATTAAAAACTCAATAGGGGCATGGTACCTATACACACACACACACCATGCAGACACTAAATCACATATAATCCACATAAGAAATGGAAGGAAATAATTGATAATATTCGGAAAAAAACGCCTTGCAACTCAGTATATGTTAATATATGATACTAACATTTGTCTATTAACAAAATTTACTTATAATATTTTCTAAATGTCTATAATCATTCATAATTTGATTCATAGTAAACTATTACTTTTATGAATCAACCATCAAGTCTATCCACGACATGCATGCATTAATCTATTAGATAAGATTTCATGTCCCTAACTCAGCGAGGATAAGGCTTTAAGGTTTTCAAAGAAGAAATGAAGAGTTTTCAAGACTCAGAAACTTAATTATATAAAGCTGTAGTTAATATAAATCAACTGCTATAATAATTTGTGTGTTGAAAAGTTCAACTTATATTCAAATAGCTCTCAAGTGAATAAAATCACTCCTTTAATTATTATGCTTTCTTTTGGTGGGACCATGGAATGCCTAGTTTAATTAATTGTAATTAATTTTAATTGATTAAGATGTTGATTATCTCTTATTTTTTTCCAAAACAAAAAACTGTATGTATGTGTGTTTATACTTTCAAGAATTGATTGCTGAAAGAACTGCATAATAGTTAAGCTATACGTATTACTATTGGCCAAAAATTAAATCTATACGTTTTTTTTTTTTGGCCTGAATAATAATCCTAAAGATATGTCTGATAACAAAAAGGCCAAGAGGGAGGAAAATATAAATTAATTTTTTATCCAAGTTAGAGATGAATTCTAATGATACCTCTAACTAAAAATAAATATACAAGACATGCCAGAAAATTTTCTTATATGTTATTCCCTCTATTTAAAAATGTAACGTATTTTTAATAAAATCTTACTTTCAATAAAGTAGTTACTTACTTTCAAATTAATTATATCTTTTCATATTTTTTCTATTAAATGCCTTACAATAAATATAAAGTCATTTATCAATACGGGCATTTTAAAAAAAAAAGACAATGATTACACCTCGAAAGATTAAAAATACCTTATATTTTTTAATATCCAACTCTTTAAAAAATGTTTTATATTTTTAAATGGAGAGAGTAAAATTTCAAGTTACATATAATATATTTTTTCTTGAAATGAATAAGAGAATTTATATGAATACATGTTTTTTATATTTTATATACGATTACAGTTTTATTGTAATTAATTTAGTAACACAAGGTGAAACTATGGGCGTATGATTCACATATTTGATTTGGTTCGGTTTTGAGAAAGAAAGAAAAAATCAAACCTAACCAGATTAATCAATTAACCATGAAGCTACACTATTTATAATTAAGTGCGCGTGAATTAGAAAAAGTATGCGCATGGAACATTTCTATTATCTATATCAGCATGCAAGTGAATAGTAACTACAAGATCAAATGCGAATATCTTCTAAAACACATGCATCTATTAGAGAGTTTTGTTATGTTTTAAGGAATATAGTAACTAGGAAACTAAATTGATGATATATTCCGGAATAGAGAGTGTAAGCTATAAGTCTCTTCTCCCAATATTTATATATCTTTTTTTTAAAATTCAAACTGAAAAAATTCTCTATAATATATAAAGAATATGAATTAACTTAATCAATGTCAACTTTGATATGCAGCAAGTGGGAGAGCCACATTCATGCACCCCTCGCATGGAAAAATTACAAATTATTTTTTCCTTTAAAATGTTTTTTATTTTTTCATGCAGTGTTGCTGTGCTAGGTACCTATGATAAAAGGTGGGGCAATATATTCTCCAAACAATTTTTTTAGAAGTAAAATCACATTTCTATCATAGACCTATCATTCTCTTTGTTATTTGCCAACGTAAAATATTGTAGGGCCCACGTACATTGACAACAAGGTAGTCTAATACATTTTAACCATCTAATGGAGGCTAAAAGGGTTGAAAGTGGCAATGATAGTAGTAAGAATTAGACTTGATTTAGGAGCGAAACTACAACAAAATAGGTTAAAATGTCATGCTATTACTGTGCATATGTTTTACAATTATTTTACATCAGTAGATAATAAAAAAGATGACAGGTCTTTCACAAAAGGATGATTTTGGTCTTGAAAAAATTGTTTAGGAAAATATTGCCTCACCTTTTAATACTGGGTATTGAGTGCTTCTAAAAAAATTGAAAGGAAAAAATTGTCTTTAACTTTATATATATGTATAATATGTGAAATTTACAACCTTGCATATCTTATTTTTAAAATTTTGAACCCTCAAGATTCTATATAAAAAAATATTTGGGCTTAAAACCTTATTAGAGATATGATACTTCAACTCATATCTTATAACTTCAAACCAAAAATTTTAAACCCATTAGACATATTATTAAAAAAGAAAGGAAGAGTTGTTTAATTAATAAAAAATTCAACCATAACATAACAAATTAACTCATAATTTTATTTTCTTTCAAATGTTATTAAACTTTACATCAACCTTCTCATTTTGACAAAATTTTACTTATATTATAAATTTGTAATAAGTCATTATATTCAGATAACACGGCTATTGCAAGTCACATGCTTTCCCTGATGAAAAAAATTAAAGCTTTACCTCTTTCTCTAATATTGCTTTGGCATATATGGGGCAGAAAACTATGTTCTTAATTAAAAAAGTTATATTAATTATTGAGAAAAAAATTCATAAAAACCAAATATATAAAAAAAAGTGAATGGTTGAGATTACAAATAATAAAAAAAATGTGATAGTGTAAAAGCAGCATGAAGTAAGTAAAACAAAGAGTGCCACAAAGTCATATAATTATAAATGTCAAAGCCCTCCAAAAGCATACTTAACCTACTTTATTAGTATGAAAGGAATATGCTTTTAAAATCATCTCTATTGAAAGTTTCGCTCATCCCATAAAATTAAACCTACATCATCATCATAATAATCCAAAAGCAATTAGTGGGATCAACATTTAATATTAATTAATATAAAATGTGTAACACATTCAATGTTTTAAGAGCTGGACCAAACATTGAATTCTCAATTTAGTGGGATCAACATTTAATATTAATTAATATAAAATGTGTAACACATCCAATGTTTTAAAAGCTGGACCAAACATTGAATTCTCGGTTTTTATATTCTAACCAATTATATCGGCAATTGAACTAATAATGTAATAACTAAATAAATATAACATTAAATATATATTATATATATAAAAATTAAATCTATATACCGTATGTCCAATTGTTAATTAAATAACACAATTTGATTATAAATCAACAATATTCCAAATTATAATTTATAACTTGTCAAATATAGGTAGAGCCGGTAATTCAAACCAAGCTTGATGGACGA